GCCCAGGACTCCCCATGAGTGGCGTTTTGGTAGTCACACTGTGGCTCCGCCAGGCCAGAGGACAGTTTTGATGGGAAAACTTGGGTAGAGATGGTTCCTGTGGGGCATGAGGAGCCAGGAGAGAAGGGCAGGGGTCTCCAGGGGGTCCTGGGTTCCAGGCAAGGGTCAGGGTGCAAGAGCGGGCAATATTTAGAGGAGCTGAGGCTCGGTTTATTTGTATCGAAATGTTCCTATGTCTCACGCTGGGCTGGTGTAGTAACGACACGTGATGGGGATTGGGGAGGAAAGGAGGATGGATGTTCTCGGTTTTCTAGTGGCAACAGCCTTTGGGGAGGGCTGGGGGGTCAACGTGGTATATTAGTCTTTGGGGGAGTGTTGCTCTGAGCAGTAGGACCTTTGTCCCAGCACAGGGGCCTGATGTCTCTCTCAGGGTCCTGGTCTGATATCTCTCCAGCCTGAGAAGGCTTTGCAGGTTCCCCCGTGGGTTGTTAAGATGGTGTGGTCTCCTTTTAGCAGAGAAGAGAGGGGAGGTCACCAGGCATGGCTTATGAGGAAAATGTATCTGACGGTCTCTTTAAGCCCTGATTTGCTTTTTGTCTGAGCCAGAAAGCAAATGTTGTGTGTGCTGGGATGCCCCAGTAGCCAGAATCCCCTCCCCTGCTGGACAGAATCCTCTGTGAGTGGAGGAGAAAGGGAGCCCAGTGGCGGATGGGGGCAGGGCTTCAGAGGTGGAGGAGCTTTCTTGAGTGTCCATCTGGAGGAGGTTTCAGCAGAGGGAACAGCGGGGAGGTCTCTCCTGGCAGAGGCTGTCACTCTACGTTAAGCTGTCACCTCCAGAAGCTGAAAGGAGAGGGGTGTGACCCTGTTGGTCAGGCTGAGAGCAAGGATCTCTGCTCCTCCCTGTCCACTGCTGTAGGCCCTCTGGGTCCTTCCGGCAGATAGCCCAGGGTTGCAGGACAGGCAGGAAGTGAGGCCCTGATCTCTGTCTGCTCCTCGAGCTGGAGGTGGTGAGGATGAGCTCCCGCTTCATAGATCCCATTCCCCAGGACCAGCCAAGTCGAGGGACGGTGAGCGCACGGTGTATTGCAACGTGCACAAGCACGAGCCCCTTGTGCTGTTTTGCGAGAGTTGCGACACCCTCACCTGCCGGGACTGCCAGCTCAACGCCCACAAGGACCACCAGTGAGTCCTGAGGCTTGGTGGGTGGGTTCTGCCTGTTCTGTGCTGGGCGCCCGGGCCCACCTCTATCTGCCCTCAGGTACCAGTTCCTGGAGGATGCTGTGAGGAACCAGCGCAAGCTCCTGGCCTCACTGGTGAAGCGCCTCGGGGACAAGCATGCGACATTGCAGAAGAACACCAAGGAGGTTCGCAGCTCGTAAGTGTGGGTGCCAGTGCTGTGCTGGGGCGGGGGGTGGGGTGGCTCTGGGTGAGCACCTGCCTGAGTGGCCCTGACCTCACCCACCCTGCTACCCAGGATCCGCCAAGTGTCTGACGTACAGAAGCGCGTGCAGGTGGACGTTAAGATGGCCATCCTGCAGATCATGAAGGAACTGAACAAGCGGGGTCGTGTGCTGGTTAACGACGCCCAGGTACCCGCTGCGTGGTCCTTCTCTGTTGGCAGCTCACTCTGCCTCAGGTGGAATCGTCATGGGGTTTGGCGCCCTCTGCTGGCTGCTGATGCCCTCCTCGGGTGGGGAGAGGTTCTAGTGCTCTGTCCTCCCTGACCCCATCTGCTCTCCACCTGCAGAAGGTGACTGAGGGGCAGCAGGAGCGCCTGGAGCGCCAGCACTGGACCATGACCAAGATCCAGAAGCACCAGGAACACATCCTGCGCTTTGCCTCATGGGCTCTGGAAAGTGACAACAACACTGCTCTGCTACTGTCCAAGAAGCTGGTGTGTGCTGGTGGGCACCCAGGTGGTGGGTTCCAGGTAGGCACCTCCCAAGACCCTGGAGCCCTGTTCACTGCCCGTGTGCTCATGTACTGCCCACCCCCAGATCTACTTCCAGCTGCACCGGGCCCTCAAGATGATCGTGGACCCCGTGGAGCCACACGGTGAGATGAAGTTCCAGTGGGACCTCAATGCCTGGACCAAGAGTGCAGAGGCCTTTGGTGGGTTTTTGTCTTTCTCTTGCTGTACCCTGCCATCCCAGGCACTGCACTTTCTTACACTGTTTTACTTCTTTACTGCAGGCAAGATCGTGGCAGAACGTCCTGGCACCAACTCCACAGGCCCTGTACCCATGGCCCCTCCTCGGGCTCCAGGGCCTTTGAGCAAGCAGGGCTCTGGCAGCAGCCAGGTGAGCCAGGGAGGGGACCATAGTGGGAGGAAAGAGGCACGGGGTCCTGTGGGATACCTGTCCACTGAGGTCCACTTGCTCTGCCCACAGCCTATGGAGGTGCAGGAAGGCTATGGCTTCGGGTCAGGTGAGTGATTCTGCCCCCCCAGTAGGTGGGAGAGCTGCAGTGCCCTATGTCCACCCCAACCTGTTCTCTGTGTTCCGAGCAGATGACCCTTACTCGAGTGCAGAGCCCCACGTGTCAGGGGTGAAGCGGTGAGTGTAGCTGCCCTTTGGTGGTTATAGGGACAGGGTGGCCATAGGGGTGGGGCGCTCACACCAAGCCACGCCCACAGGTCCCGCTCAAGTGATGGTGAGGTGAGTGGCCTCATGCGTAAGGTGCCACGGGTGAGCCTCGAACGCCTGGACTTGGATCTCACGGCTGACAGCCAGCCACCAGTCTTCAAGGTCTTCCCAGGCAGCACCACTGAGGATTACAACCTCATCGTCATTGAGCGAGGTGCTGCAGCTGTTGCAGCTGGACAGCCTGGGACTGCGCCCCCAGGGGCCCCTGGCGCTCCGCCCCTGCCTGGCATGGCCATCGTCAAGGTGAGCCTGCCCAAGTGACTGTGGCTGGGAGATGAGGATCTACTGCCCAGGCCGGCACCCCACTGAACACCCCTCACCTCCTCACAGGAGGAAGAAACAGAGGCTGCCATTGGGGCCCCGCCTGCTGCCACTGAGGGCCCCGAGACCAAACCTGTGTTGATGGCCCTGGCGGAGGGCCCCGGCGCCGAGGGCCCCCGCCTGGCTTCACCCAGTGGCAGCACCAGCTCAGGCCTGGAGGTGGTGGCTCCAGAGGGCACCTCAGCCCCAGCTGGTGGCGCAGGTGCCCTGGATGACAGTGCCACCATCTGCCGTGTCTGCCAGAAGCCAGGTGACCTGGTCATGTGCAACCAGTGCGAGTTCTGCTTCCACCTGGACTGCCACCTGCCTGCCCTGCAGGATGTGCCAGGGTGCGAGGCTGTGCGGGGTCTGTAGGGTGGAGGGCTGGGCCAGGTGCCGTGCAGCCCCTCACGGTCTGTTCCCTCTAGGGAGGAGTGGAGCTGCTCTCTCTGCCACGTGCTACCCGACCTGAAGGAGGAGGATGGCAGCCTAAACCTGGATGGGGGTGACAGCACTGGTGTGGTGGCCAAGCTCTCGCCAGCCAACCAGCAGGTGAGGGTGGGGCCCACTCCCTTGGTTTGGCCAGCAGCACACCAAGTCCCCTATGACTCTGATGTTCATGTAATGCCTGCAGAAGTGTGAGCGCGTCCTGCTGGCCCTTTTCTGCCATGAGCCCTGCCGGCCCCTGCACCAGCTGGCTACTGACTCCACCTTCTCCCTGGTGAGTTCTGGGACTTGGGAGGGTGGGAGGTGCAGGGGCTGTTTGGCCTCACTTTCAGCCTGTGGCCTCTGCTTGAAGGATCAGCCCGGCGGCACCCTGGACTTGACGCTGATTCGAGCCCGTCTCCAGGAGAAGTTGTCACCCCCCTACAGCTCCCCCCAGGAGTTTGCCCAGGATGTGGGCCGCATGTTCAAGCAGTTCAACAAGCTGACAGAGGTGAGCCTGTTGGGGTGGGGATGGGTTGGGGAGGGGAGGCTGGGGGCAGAGAGGTGGGCGACCTAGGACCCATCCACTGTAATTTGCCCGGCAGGACAAGGCCGATGTGCAGTCCATCATTGGCCTGCAGCGCTTCTTTGAGACTCGCATGAACGAAGCCTTTGGTGACACCAAGTTCTCCGCCGTTCTGGTGGAGCCCCCGCCGCTGAGCCTGCCTGGTGCTGGCCTGAGCGCCCAGGACCTGTCCAGTGGCCCTGGTGATGGCCCCTGAGGCTGGGCAGCCCCCGAGCCGCTCCAACCTGGCTCTGTTCTCTGTTCTGTCCTGTCACCCCCTCTTCTCTCTCCTCTTCTCCTCTCTCCGGTGGCCTGGTTCCCACTCCTTGGTGGCCCATACCCCAGCCCCTCACAATATGGTTTTTACTTCTGTGGATTTAATAAAAACTTCACCCGTTACTCAGGCCTTGGTTGGTGGGGGCAGTGGTCCTGGGGGCCTGGTCTCTGGCTGTTACCGATCCCTCACCAAACCCTGTTGGGCCAGATGGGGGTGGGGCACTTGTCTCCAGCCACCTGGGTGTCCAGGGAGTGGGGAGCAGCATCCCTCCTGGGCCCTTTGCGATCTGGGGAGTGTCTGGTGGGTAGGAGGGCCACCCGGTAGGTAGGCAGACCCAGGCTAACCTGTGGGCAGGCAGGGTGAATCCCCAGGTAGGTGCTGCACGGCAGCTCATTCTCCCCGAGAGCTTCCTGGACTGGTTTGGAACCGTTTCTCGCAACCAGCTCATCAAAGTGAGCTGGGTGGGCTGGGCTACGCGGAGTTGGGCAGTGTATCCCTGGGGGACAGGCCTGGACTCCTGGGATGCTATCAGGATGTCTGGGGAGCCTGCCTTCTTGGGGGTTCTGGGCCAGTGTCTGCTGCTCATTTTCACATCCCAAGCCCTGAAGACGGGTGGGCTTGGTCTGTCCACTCCCGCCAAAACGAGAAAACCTCCAGCCCTCTGTCTTATACCCCAGCTAATGTGGCACACATTACCAAGCCCTGCCTGAGCAACTCCTGTCAGCCCTGTCACCAGACTCCCTAACCCAGCCTGGCTCACGTCAGGCCACTCACACAGGCCCAAGACTAGTGCCCAACTTCTTTTATTGCAGAAGGTACAATGAAAATGCTGGGCCCTCCGCTGGCTCCCTAGGGTGGCACGGGGGTGTGTTGTGTGTGCAGTCAGTCCCTTCGAAGGTTCTTGAGCCGCTCCTCCAGGTCTGCGTCTGCATCGACTAGGGCGGAGGCTGCAGCCTCTGCTTTCTTCCCACTGGCAGCCACACTGAGGGAGCCTCCAGTGGAGGGGAGGTCTGCAGAGAAGGGGGGTTAGGAAGAGAGCCCCTGCGAGAAGGAGTAATGCTGGGAGAGGGAGGGTCTGCGCGATGGCTGAGCTGCGCGCAGGACAGGGCCCAGGGTCTGGACACTCACTTGACAGCTCATCCGTCAGGCTCAACCCCAGCTCGTCCAGGACCTGGGCTACAACAGCGTCACTAGGTAAAAAAAAAAAGAACCATGAGGGTCAGGCACCCGGAGGGCCAGGCATCCCCTCTGTCCCCACCCTCCTGCCTCCTGTCTCCAAACCTCTCCTCTTCATCGTCCTCGTCACCCATGGCATCGTCAATGGCATCGTTCATCATCTCCTCCTTCATGTCCATAATCTCCGCCTGCCGCTCGAACTCCATCATGATCTTCTGGATCTGGGGCAACTTCAGCTGGAAGTGGGAGGAGGGTGAGTCTGGCTCCTGAGGTTAGCAGGGGTAGGGAGGGGGATCGGGAGAGGCGCACCTGTCTGTTCATGGTGCCCATGGCCTTGGTGACGCCCTTCATGGCTTGTGCCATTGAGTTGTTAGACTTGAGTGTCTGGATCTTGAGGGACACAGCCTGGATGTTGGCCCGCATCAACACAAACTTGCGCACGTACCGCCTTGTGCGCACCAGGTCTCTTGCCATGATACGCACAGCGTCCTGCGAGGGGACAGGTGGCAGTGAGCCAGCCTTGGGAGTATGCTCACTGCCACTCCACCATGCCCACTGAGGCTTTCAGGGGCTCCTATGTGCCTGCTCCCACTGGCCACTGTTCCCTCTCGCCCTCAGGCCTCTTGGGTCACCACTGCACAGACTCCTCCGCGGGCTTCTCATCTCTGCTCCAGAAATGAGAGGGAGAAAGGTGGGGCCACCCTTGAGGGGTCCTTTTCTCTCCATGTCTATAGAGTCAACACCCATTCCTGAATTTCTCTCCTGGCCAAAGAATGTGTGTCTCCCTCCACCTCACACAGGCCCTCACCTCAAGTACAGGATCCTGATTCACACATGAACACTTCCAAACCTCACCTTTTCACTTCCTCCCCAGAGCTCTTCCTTGCTTTGCCCATCCCAGGAAATGGCACCTCAACCCAGCTGTTCAGGCCAAAACTCTGTCGCCCATCAAAGGTGCTGCTCCCCAGCAGTTCAGGCTGTGCCCATCTCTCTGCTCACTGGCCCCCAGGGCCAGTGCATCCCATGCCACGTGGGCTCCCACTGTGGCCCACGATTCCAAGTGGTCTGGCCCACATCCACTCCTCTGAGCTCACCCATCACTCTCATGGAGCATCTGCTGTTCTATCTGACACACTTGCTGTTCTATCTGACACACTTGCCACTTGGATCTTCACGGGCTCACTCTCTTCCTTACTCAACGTTTGGCTCTGATACCACCTCCACAGAGGCAGCCTTTTGGACCCTGAAACTAGGGAAAGCCCCACTCAACCCTTCATTTCCCTAGAAGTACCTCCCTGTTGGTGCTCAGCATGTCCAGTTTGCTGCAGCCCCAGTGTCTGTGAACAAGCAACAGCACTGGCCTGTGTCCCAGGCTGTGCCCAATCGAGCTTACCATCTGGCCCTGCTTGGCCATTTTCTTGATGTCTGCAATGATTTTCTTCTCCTGGGTCTCTAGCTTCTGTCGCTCACGGTCCAGCTCTCGCATGGCGCGGTTCAGGGCGCGCTGGTTCTGCCGCAGCAGCTCCTCCGGCGTCTTCCGGCGCCCAAACAGCAGGTCCATGGCCGCAGGAGCCCACCGGTAGGACTAGGGCAAGTGTGAAGCCTTACTGCAGAGTGGTGTGAGGCCCAAAACGAGAGCATGAGGCAGAGCTGGGGTCACACTGTGTATGGGCAGGGACAGATGCGGACTCCCAAAATGGAAAGGGCTGAGCAGGGAGAAAAGGCGTGAATGGAAGGCCAAAAGAGTGGAGTCTGGAACTTGGGTAGCCCCAGGGACATGAGTGGGGACAACGTGCCCACCCCAACCCCTCTTCCATCACAGTGCCCCCACAGAGGTTCAAGGCGTCCACCTCGTCCTGCAGACCCTGCGATGAGGCCCTAGCGTGTTCGGTGGACTGAGACTGGAGATGGCCGTGTGTGGGCTGACGGGGGTAGGGGGCACTTGGAACCCTGAGCGCCAAGGACAGGGCACTTGAGAGGGTCCCTGCCAGGAGGAGGTGGAGGCTGCGAGTGCTAGAAACAGGGTGGATGGGGGCGGCCCTGAAGCTGACAGCGTATGCATGGAATTCGGTTTGGGGCGGGGGTCCTAAATGCCGAGGGAATCTGGGCGCGGAGAATAAGGTTGGGGAGGGTTGCGGACTCCTGTACAGAGGCAGGGATGCTAAGTGTTGGGGTGCCTTGTTCACGCAGGAAAGCCTGGGGGGCCATTCGGGGTGTTGACCACTGAAGGCAAGACAGCATGGGGTCCTCTGATGATAAGGCCGGGTCCCAGAGAGGGGCGAGGCCCTCGTACGCCGCCACCCACGCGTCCACCCAGGGCCCGCGCCCCAGTAGGGGCCACTCACCGGAGTTGCGACAGGGACTCGCTTCCGTTTCCGGGTCACGCTTTTCTCGCTGGGAGCCCCGGAGCGCCCACCAACGACAGACCCTCGGTTCTGTCGCGTCGGCGGTCGCCGCCGTTTCCGGATTAAACCACCTGACGTCACACGCCCCGCCGGCGCCCGGAATGCTGGGCGGGGACAACAGCGCGCGTGCGCACGCGCCGGGGACCAGGCCGGCCCCAGGCGCATGCGCACCAGCTTCCGTGTCCCTGCCGCAGACTCGGTGTTCCACAGGTTCAAGTCCAGCCTAAGGGAGCCGAGCCACGGCCGGAGTCCTGGTCCTGGTCCTTGCGGGGTTGGCGCCCTTCCGGGCAGCCACCCAGAGGCCCTGCACCCCACCACGTTACCCACTGTAGGGCCCAGCTCATCTCAGGGACCCAGAACTCTCGCTGATGTTTCTGGACCTCAGGTAGCCGGTGGCACCAGACAGCATTCTCCTCGTCAGGCCCTCCCATGGCAGAAGGGGGCAGAACAGGAGATGGTGCGGACTTTCTTGTATGTTGGCTTACTGGCCAGGAAGCCTGTGGTTACTGGATCCTGCCCCTCCTTTGTTCCGGAGTGGGATTCATCCCACCCTGCCGAGGCCTGCGGCTTGGTCCCCTCACGACTCCCAGGGCTGCCCCAGGCACTGGGCAGCCTGCTGACGCGGGGGCGGGGGGGGGGCCCTAATGCCACCTGTGATCACACAACTCCCATCACGCTTGCTGCAGGAGCCCTGGTGGACATCACCTGCCCCTCCCACCCCACAAAAGGAAGAGGCAGAGGCCATGCAGTAACATTCCCCTTTAATAGCCTGGCGGGACCTCCAGTGGTGCAGGGGTGGGGTGCCGGGTGCCCAGCCACCCTTGGCCTCCCACCCCAGAGCCCAGATTAGGGGGGCTGGACAGCACCCAGCGTGGGGCTAGACAAGCCAATTCATTTCCCATCGCTGAGCGGGTCGGGGGAGGCAGCACCGACCTCAATCACATGGTGGTTTAAAAAAAAAAAAAAAAACTAGGAGCGGGTGGCGGGGAGGGGTGGCAGGTCAGGGCATGGGATTCCCCCACCGGCTGCCCCATGCCCCCCCCCACCTGTGGCCCCCAATAAATATTTGCAGGGGATGCCGGGGCTGGTGGCCCTGGCAGGGGTGGGTATGCGCCAACCCTATTTCAGGCAGCGCTCGAAGTAGGTGGAGCCAATATAGCCACCCCGCATGGAGCGCTGCACGTTCTGCTCAAACAGCCTCCGGTTGTTCTGCAGGACCTCGGCGGCTTCCTTGTTCAGTGGGTCTTCAGGGTTGGGCTCCTGTGGCCGGTATGGGTGGGGGTCAACAAGCCCAAGGGGCAGAAGTCCAACCTCCCCCAGCCCCAGCGCCCCCGCCCCTACTCACCAAGAAGAGATACTGCAGGCCATAAATTATGGAGTTTATCGTAAGGACTGGCTTCCAGTCCTCTCTGTGGGCAGAGAACATCATGATTAGGGGCTGGTGAGTGGGAAGCCGCCAGAGGCCCTGCTGGGACCGGACAGATCAGGCCCAGGGCACGGGACAGTGCGGATGGGAGAAGCTAGCAGGAGGGTGCAGAGAAGGACAGACGCTGGAGAAAGCCAAGGTCAAGCCACGAGGAAGAAAACGTGGAGATGAAGAGACAGAGGAACACACACCACAAGGGGTAAGGAATGGACAGAGACTGGTGTAGTGCAAGGCCATGAAGGGTGCCTGGCAGGCAGGGCTGGGGAGAGCTGTGGAGGGCTAGTGCCCTCACCTGAGAATGTTGAGGCAGACGTTGCCCTCGAGGTCAATGTTGGGGTGATAAACCATCGTCTCACACTTCACCTTGGGGGGGTCATGCGGGTAACCCTGGCCCACCTGGCTCCAGGAAAAGAGAGGGGAGGTGGATAGATGCCCCAGCAGTGCCTGGCCGGGGCCTCAGCTGTTGCTTCCTCAGCCCAGGGAGCCACCCCGGCCCACCGAGACTCACCTTAAAACTGAACACAAACTTCCCGCTCTTGTAGAAGCCCTGTGAAGGAAGAAAAGAGGAGTTGGGATCCCATCCAGCAAGGCCTGGCAGGTGAACCAGGTATCCCTACTTGAGGTGGGGCCACCCGCCGTGCCTGGGAGTCCAGCTGAGTGTGCCCTCACCTCATCAGGACAGATAACCAGCTTGAAGTTGAGGAGGTCGTCTGGATCTGAGAAGCTGATGTCGCACGTCTTGGGCAGATTCAGCTCGTTTATGTCTAGGTTTTCACAGCAGAAAAGGGAAACAGAGAGAAAGGAAGAGGGAGAGAGAGGGGGGTGTTCAGAGCAGGTGCAGGTAACAGCAGAGCCTCCATAGAGCCTCCTCCAGGACCCCAGCTCTGTCCTGGGCAGTGGGACACATCCCCAACCCTCTCCCTGCTCTTTCTGCTCCCCAGTCTCCAGGCAGGCTCTTCTGGATCTACAGAACACCACAAACACACATGTTCAATTGTGACTGTGCTTGAGCTCCTGGCCCAGGGTAAGTTCCAACTCTTCTGAATCCACAGCCCTAAGTCCCAGCACCCAACAGCTGGGTGCCCCCGCAACCCAGCTCCTAAATGCCCCCACTCCCCTGTGCCCTCCAAGAGCCTCTGACTACCCCACACCCAGGATCCCTGGCCATAACCCCCACCTTCTAGAGGAGTCCCCAATTATCTGCCCAAACTCAAAGACCTTATTCCCCCTCCACACCCTAAATCATCCCCCCACCAATCCCTGGTCCCCACGATCCATATACTCCTCTTTCTGCCTATCATCCCAAACCCAGGTTCCCATCTGACCTCCAGATCTGTTAGTTCCCAGCCCTCCTACCTTACACTGTTCTGACTATAAGATTTCCAGCATCTCCAGCACCATGGTCTAAACCCAACTCTACTCCTATCTCTAATCTCTGGCACCCACTGTCCCTCCCTCCTCCTCCTGTCACCCTAAACCCCAAATTGCCATGTGACGCCCCCCCCCCAGACTCACGAAACCCAGGCCCCAGAACGTACTTCACCACGCCTGACTCTGATTCCCACTGACCCCAGCATAAGACACTAAATCTCCCACTCGGATCCTCAATCCTCGGCCCCCACTATCCATATCTCCTCTGCCTTTCACCCAGGTTCCCGTCTGACCCCGCAGACTCTCGAGTTCCCGGTCCCCCCACTACACTGCCACCCTCAGATTCCCAGTCCCTAATATCAGACATCTGGCTTTCCAAATACCTTCAGTGCCCCATCCTCGGCCCCGCATCTCTGACCACTTCAGTGACTATTACTCCACCCCTGATCCCTCAATCCCCAGGCCCTGATCTCCGATCCCCACATCCGCGGCCCCTCCATTTCTGACACCTCTGACCCCTGGCGACCGCATTACCCCAAGCCAGGCCCTGACCTCCGACCTCCACCCCCATCCCGACTCCTTACCCTTCTGGATCCGCAGCTGCGCCGCCGACGCCTTCTTGCTGCTGCCCTTGGTGCCGCCCGCCGACTCCTCCTCCTTCTTCTGCTGCTTCAGCGAGAACAGCTTGATCATCCTGCCGCCGCCGCCGCTGCCGCCCCTGCGGGGCCCGGGACCCCGGCCACCCGGCCCCCCGCCGCCGCCGCCCTTGCCGCCTCCGCCACTCGGACCCGCCGCCGCGGCCTCTTCGGCTGCTGCCGCCGCCCGCCCGGCCTGCCGCGCCGCTCCGCGCCCACCGCGCGGCCCGCGTCGGCTCCCGTAGTCGGCTCCGGCCTGGCCCGGCGCCTCGGCCTCGCTCGGCAGCACTCGGGCCCACTCGGCTGTTCTCGTGTCCGCTCGGCCCCGCCCCCACCCGCCGCTCCCTCCTCCCCCTCTCCCGCCCCGGTGTCCTCAGGCCCAGCTGCGGCTGCGGACGTGGGGTCCTCAGGCCGCACCACTGGCCCGTTCACTCGCTCCCTTCCCGAGGGGGTTGCGGCTCGGGTCGGAACAGGGAGGCGGGGGCTGCGGTGGTGACGGCCGTGTACTGGAGGAGGGTCGGCTTCCGCGGCAGCAACGGCTTCGGCGCGGAGGTCCGCAACGGCCTCGGGCGCCCCACCGCTTCGGCTCTTTCCGCCGCCTGCCCGCTTCGGCTCTTTCCGCCCGGCCTGCGCTGTGCGCCTGCGCAGCCGCCGACGCCACCGCCCCGCGTTGCTCCGCGATGGGACTTGGGGATCGGGCTCCTTCGGCTAGGCTCGAGTATTTCCGTTCGCGCAGGCCGGGCCGGCCGGTCACTTCCGGGGACGCCTGCGAGTCCAGGGAGTGGGGCGGTGTTGTCGCCATCTTTAAGTGGGGCAGATGCGGGCAGCTTCGCTTCCGGTCCAACCATTCCCACTTGCACTTGTGCAGACGGCGGCGTAGGCGGGCCAAACGAAGTACTTGGCCCCGGGGGTCACAGACTGAGGCTGGGTCAGGTCAGAGCCTGAGCAAGGCAGGGGCGTTGCCTAGAGGGTGCGTGGTCCAGCACTTTCGGTGTCCCATCGCAAACCCAAAGAACCCTCTCGCAGAGAGTCTGGTTGAGGTAAACTAACAAATAAAACGTGTATTGTGTCAGAGAGTAGTAAGCACTGTGGAGGTTTACACAGGCTGACACACTTCGGAAGCGGAAAGTGGGGAGGGCCGCTCTCTGCGCGGGTCTACAGTTCCAGCGGAGGTGCCCTACGACCTTCCGCCGGCTGCGCGTGAGATGTGGGCGGGGCCAATCTCCCCTCCAATCACGGCTCAGCGTGCCTCGGCGGGGCGGGAGGAAGCGGCGCGGAGCGGTTCTGCGATTTCAGGCTGTCACCAAGGGAACCGTCAGGCGGTGAGCGGTGCCGCGAGGGCTGGTTGGGGCGGGGGGCCGGGCCCGTGGGGCGGCGGGGGCTCTGTCTCTCAGCCTGCCCGCGTCTGAATGAGGCTCCTGCCGCACGTCCCATCCAGTCGCTGAGGCGACGTGCCGCCATCATACGGACCACCAAGGGAGAAGTAGTCGCGGCGGCCCAGTTGGGCCCGCGCTGGGGGTGGGCAGGCTCAGTCCATGGCCTCCTCTTGGCGAACGACCCCGGCCCCATCCTCACCCCAGGGAGTCGGCTCTACCCCTTCGGGTCTTGATTTGGCGTCCATCCCGGCCCCAGCCTCCTCAGAGGCCCTGCCCGGGTATCCTCGGCGTCTTTGGGCTCCGTGGACTGATCCCAGTGGTGTCTGTGCAGCCGCTCCCCCTTTTGCCCCTTTCCATTCTCTTTCCACCATCCCACACGCCCCTCTTCAGCCCTGTAGTTGTCCTAGCCTCACACTCCCAGCTTCGTTGACTCCCCTGAGAGCTGAGTGCTGGAGAGGCGCCGGAGTGAGGATGGGAGATCAGAAGCTGCAAACGGCTCAGGTTTGGGGCTGACAAGATTGCAGCCATCCCAGGGTTCTCAGGCTTCAGACATGGCTGGTCCTGGGACCCAGAGGGCTCTTCCAGACTCAATTTCCCTCTCCCTCTCCGCTCTTCTCATTCGCTCTGCTCTTGCTGATTATTTATTTTTGTACAGGACGTGAGGGTTGATGACCATACTGTGGTTTCCAGCCAAAGTCTCAGGGGTGGTTTCTATTGGCCAGTCTGGTTCATGTGCCCATCCCCAGGCCAGTTGCTTAGGCCCTTCCGCTAAGGTCCCATCTGGGGATGGGGAATTGGTTCCCTGGAGAGGACTAGCCAAAGCTCGACTCACGTGATCTCTGATCTTGTGGCTTCCCCACCGTCCAGTGGGGGAAGACTTGACCATGCAACAGAATGCTAGGCAAAGGGGGCCATGGTTTCTGGACCAGGGAGGAGGGGATGGCCTCATCCCCCTCATCCCCTCAACCCAGGGGGCTGGGTTGGAAGTGGTGCAGCTAAGCTGTATATTCTTTGTCACCTTCGTGGCCACTCAAGTGGCAGAGAGGCACAGGTGGTTTTGGTGGCAAAGGTGCCTGTGGCCCTTGGGCCTGCAGCCTCTTAGGATGCAACCTAGGGCTTAGCGCATGCAGAGGTCCTGAGGGAAGCTGGGGCCAGTGCCTTGGAGGGACTGGGCAGAACGTGGCGGGTGAGTTGTGAGGGTGGAAGTGCACGTAGGGTTGTTAGCGTAGCCTCTGGGAGCTGACACTGGGAAGAAAGGGTCTGTTTGGGGAACAAGGGAGCAGGAGTAGGCAGGGAAGAGAGGCTGAGTGCCGTGGGCCTCCAGGAGATGGACGGCTGGGATCAGAACAGTGCTGGGGGGTGGAGAGAAGTGGATAGATTCGGGAGGCTGGGCTTCCGGTGAGAATAATTGGATGGACGTGGCATGGGGAGGCCGGGCTTGGGAGTGAACAATATGGGCTCAGGTACAGACAGTCCAGGGACAGGCTGGCTGGGCACTGTTGTAGCTTTCTTAGATGACCAGTACTTAGGTATTCCTCTCCTGGGTTCCTCATACGGCTCTGGCCAAGTGGGGCGAAGTGGTCATTCTGTCCAAGCCCTCAGCCCTTGATGATAGTATGGTAACACTTGGGTTCTCGACCTGCAGCCACATGACTGGATTGCAGAGGTGTGCCTGGCCAGCTGCAGAAATGACCTTTCATGGGTGGCGCTCACATAGCTGTTCATGTTGACTTCTTAGAGGGCTGTTTTGGCAGGTGGGTCCATGGACTTCTCAAGGCTTCGGGTGTGGGGCCCTGGCCGGATGTCTCCATGCTTTTTATGTTTGCTGTAATTTTTCCTGTGTGGAATTTCATGTTTTTATGTAGTTGTGTCTGCACAGATTTCACTTCATAATTAACACGAAGATGATCAAAGATGAGAGCTTTCTTGTTTTCTTTGTTTCAGATTATAAAAGTCATACAAATTGTAAAAAAAAAAAAAAAATAAGCCATGTTACAGGATTTATAAAGTTCCGGCAACATTCCTCCAACCTGAGACCACTGGCTACCTCAGTGTTCATTCATGTGCCTTCCCTGATCTGATTCTCCCAGCCCCTCCCTGCCTTCCTCTCCCCTCTGATTCTACAGATTCTAGACCAGGTTTCCTAGAATCCCCTTTGTGATCAGAGAGAACCGTGAGTGCTGTCAGAGGGTCCGGGGACGCCCCACCCCTGACTGTGCCACACAAGAGTGCCCCTGCATGGGGGGCTGCTGACTTTGCCAGACGTAGTAGATGCCGGAGTGGCTCTGGTCTTGGCTAGGGCTAGACTAGCGGGGAGGTGGGGAAAAGAGAGGAATGGGGGAGGGGAGGAAGGGGGGCTGAGGCAGGGAGCATGCCTTCTCTAGCATGTCTGTAGGAACCCTTTGGCCCGGGCTGGCTTGTCTTTCCCTGATACCAGGGCCCAAGTCTTGAGGGGATCAGGGTCACTCAAAGTGGCAGGGGCGAGTCCAGCTGCACTTCTGGAAGAAGCCTGGACATACAGGCCTAGAAGGGCTGTTCTGGAACCTCTAGGCCAAGGGCAGGCTGACACCCTCCTAGAGTGGGGTTTAAGTCCCAAGCCAGACCCTGCTGCATGAAGATGCCCTCTTTGGAACTGCCTTTCTCCATTGTCTCTGGCACTTACAGCACCCATGGGTGGAATGGGGGACTGTGTCAAGGCCTGAACAATAGGATGGAAGGGGAAGATAGGGCAAAAGAAGCAGTGGCACAGGAAGAGGTTGGAGGGTTCCAGAGACACCGGCCCTCAAGTCTGCAGGACACTGAACTGGAACTGGCAGTATCGTCCATCTTCATGAAAGCCGCTGCCAGCCGTGCTTCCTGTGACTAGTTACTGAACACACGATAGATACCTCCCACTGTGCGGGAGCCCTTAGGGGCTGTGCGTGGGGCCAGGGAGGGAGGAGAACGGCGCATGATGGCAACGATCACCAGAGGGCCGGGGGACTGGCCTGGGGCTTGCAGCCACCTGCGGGTCTCGGACCGGCTGGAGTCTGCGGGGAACAGAGGAAAGCCTTGAGAGAATATGGATTCCCAGGTAAAGCCTTGTAGCTTTTACGCCTGAGAAGTGGCCCCCTAGGTTTAAAGTTTCATGAGCGCGTGTCCTCAGGCCGGCCCTGGCACGCTGGACACCAGTTTGATGTTTCACCCCCTGATGACACCCACTGCCAGTCCACGTCCTCATCTGGCAGTTGGCTTGGCCGGCAGACGTGTGGGTCGAAGGGAACATGGGCAAATAGTACAGGAGCTGTGGTGCAAGGAGGGCATCCCCAGATGTGGCCAGGCTCTGCTAGGGGCCACATCTGCAGGGGGCTCTGGCTCTTACAGGAATCATGTGGTTGCAAAGAAAGTGGTGGACCTGTGGGGTGGGCAGAGAGGGACCCAGGCAAGTGGGGAGGAACTGAATTGGTGTAGACCCAGACGCAGGTTCCGTGTACTGTTTATTGAGCACCTACTGGGCACCGGGCCCTAAGAGGGCTGGCTTGTACCCACGTGATCACAGGCCTCACAGCATCCCCGCGAGGTAGGTGTTCTGCAGCCCCCCCCCCCCCCCCCCCGCACGGAGGAACGAGGTGAGGGCTGAGAGGGGGTGCAGCGCGCACTGGCTACTCTGCACTGTGGACGCGCTGATGCTGGATGAGCTTGGTGCTCTGGTGGAAGCAGCGGCCACAGTCCTGGCAGGCAAAGGGCTTCTCGCGCCGGTGGGTGCGCAGGTGCTGCGTGAGCGTGGGCCGCTGGCGGAAGGCTTTGCCGCACTCGGGGCATGCGTACGGCCGCTCGCCCGTGTGGATGCGCCGGTGCTGCGTGAGGTTGGCGTGCTGCCGGAAGCTCTGGCCGCACTCCGGGCAGGCGAAGGGCCGCTCGCCTGTGTGGATGCGCTGGTGCTCGGTGAGCCGCGAGACTTGCGTGAAGCCCAGGCCACACTCGCTGCAGTGGTAGGGCTTCTCGCCGGTGTGCGTCCGCTGATGGCGAGTGAGCTTCAGGCGCTGGCTGAAGCGCTGGCCGCACTCAGGGCAGGCGAAGGGCTTTTCCCCCGTGTGCACGCGCAGGTGCTGCGTGAGCGTGGGCCGCTGGCGGAAGGCCTTGCCGCACTCCGCGCAGGCGAAGGGCCGCTCGCCCGTGTGGATGCGCCGGTGCTGCGTGAGGTTGGAGCGCTGCCGGAAGCTCTGGCCGCACTCAGCGCAGGCGAAGGGCCGCTCGCCGCTGTGCACGCGCCGGTGCTGCAGCAACACCGAACGGCGGCCGAAGCGCTCGCCGCACTCCACGCAGCCGAAAGACTTGTCGCCTGTGTGCACCGCCTGGTGCTCCAGCAGCACGGCGCGCCGTGCGAAGCTCTCGCGGCACTCGCTGCACGGGAAGGGGCCTGGGGGCTCCGGCGCGCCAGGAGGCGCCGGGGGTGCCGCGCCGGGGCCCGGGGGGTCGCCGTGGATACGCTGGTGCTGCAGCAGGTTGGAGCGCTGCCGGAAGCTCTGGCCGCACTCGGCGCAGCGGAAGGGCTGCTCGCCCGTGTGCACGCGCCGGTGCTCCTCCAGGCGCGCGCTGCGTACGAAGCCTTGGCCGCAGTCGCCGCACACGAACGGCCGCTCCTCGGTGTGCGTGAGCTGATGGCGCAGCAGGTGCGAGCTGCGGCTGAAGCTGCGGCCGCATTCGCCGCACACGAACGGCCGCTCTCCCGTGTGTATCTTCTGGTGCCTCAGCAGGTTGCTGCGTTGGCTGAACACCTTCCCGCACACGTCGCAGCGGCCACCTCGCACGGCTCCGGCGCCTGTGCTGGGGCGACCTCGACCCCGGCTCCGGCCCCTGGGGGCACGCCAGCGAGCGGCGGCCAGCCCGGGGCCCACGCCCTGGCGGGGATCGTACGTGGGGTCCTGCTCACTTCCCGGGTCGCTGGAGAGCACCAGCGCGTGTGAGAAGCCACCTTCGAGGGAGGGTGACTCGAGTCGGCCCGTGAGGCTGGCCACGCCGAGGTCCCAGGGGAGGTGGATGTGGGGGCTCACAGTGTCTGGGCCAGCAGAGATGCTGTCCATCTGGAGTGTAAACCCTGCATTGCAGAAGGGGATCCACTCATTCATGACAGAGAACCCACTTGTGCCCAGAGCCACTCCAGCCCTGCAGAAACGGCGCGAACTACAGCGACCTGAAACTGACCAAGGAGGCAGACAGAAGTGACGTGGGCAGGGGCAGGGGTTGTATATGTGCAGGCTTTCTTAAGGAGGTGACAATGGGACAGACCCTTGCAGGAGGTGGAAGACTGAAAAGCTGGGGACAGGCTTTCCAGGTCTGACTTAAGTTTGTAAAAACCGCCTTTCTGGAAGGGCTGTAGGGCAAAGGTGGGGCAGGTGGCCCTTGCACTGTCCGGGTGGGTGATGATGGTTTCCACAAATGCAGAGCTGTGGGTGGGTCTGAGGGAGGCTGGAAGTGGAGCCAACAGGAAGGGAATAGGGCAGGGGACAGAGGCAGGGAATGCAGGCAACCAGGACTTTTGTCTGCCGTGCCTTCCTTGAGATGCCACGGGACTCCCGAGGGACAGAGGGCACGCGCAGGCTGTGGGGCACAGGAGTCGGGCCCAGTCTGCCGGGAAAGGTGAACACGGGTGCCATGGTGTGTACATGGCCTATGGAGTCCTGGGCTTGCATGTGATCAGACAGTGGTGGGTGTCTGCGGATAAAAGGAGCAGGTTCCAGCCACGCTGTGAGCACTCCATCATTAGATGCTGGGGAAGGGAGGCGATGTGAGCACAGGCAACGGAGAAGAAGGAAGTTAAAGCAAGGAGACTGGGAGACTAGCAAGGGCTTCAGTAGGTGACAGAAGACCTATCAGATGCCAAAGAAAACTCAGAAAAATTATACTGTGTCAAAGGAAATCATCTGTGCACAGCAAAAACCCTCCGAGTCAAAAGACGAATGACAAACTGCGAACTCTCCAGAGGCAAGGGACTAATTAACCAGAGTAAGGTGCGCCAGTCAATCAACAAGAAAGACGGACAACCTGACAAACGTGGGGAAAGGGCAGGAAAAGAAAGGAAATGTCACGGATGCTTAAATTCCGTAAAATATGCTCAGTCCCCTCCTCGGAAGCAAAGTGTGTATTAGGGCCGTACTCGTTACCGTTTCCACACCCTAACTCTAGGAACCCAAGCATTCGTGTGCACCGCTTGCCAGCATAAACAGAAGCCAGTGTGGCAAAGTGCATAAGAATGTCCAATTTCCCACCCTCTGATCCAACAGTTCCACGTCTAGGTACTTCTCCACCAATTGTGTTCCCCCTGTGTGAAATGATCGGTGTAGGAGGTTTCTCAGTTCTCACTGAAAAGTAACCCAAAGGAATGTCAGCAGGGGCCTGGATGGATAAACAAGTGTGTCCACGGTGAGCCCCAGTGGGCTCTATGCAGCTGTCCAAAGAGGAGGGCGCTCGCTGCTGTGTGTTCAAGTGGGAAGATGCACGAAAAATGTCAGGCGTGGAACAGTGTGAAGGTTAAGCATCCACGTGTGTTTTAAAAACGGGAAATGAGTATGCACCTGAATTTGTGTTTGTTCTATGCAGAGAATCTTTCTGGAAGTACACACAAAAAACCGGTGATGTTGGCTGTTGGGGTGCAGGACCATGTGATACAGGCAGGAGAGGGGCATTCCACTGTATACTCCCTTGTGCTTTCTGAATTTTCTAACACGTGAATGTCCTAGCAATTCAAACTGTTCTCCTGATAAAAGCACTGGCTGCACAGATGTTCGGTTGAGGGCAAGGGGAGCAGCCAGGAGACCTTATGGGGAGGCCAAGGTGGCTGAGGTGAGCTGTGGTTGTCTGGGGAAGAGCGCAGCCTGAGGAAAGAATGGGGCCGCAGAGAAGGAACCCGCCGAGGAGCCTGGGGTGGAACTGCCGGTGTGGCTGGAGAGAGCAGAGAGACTGTGGGGCTGTGGGCTGAGAGAAGCAGGTCCAGGCTGGAGTGTCAGCTACACAGCATGAGGCAAGCCTGGCCAGCCAGCTGAAGACTGAAACAGCAGAAGGGGCATGTATCACATGCTACTCTCTCAGCTTCAACATGCGCGACTGACAGACAGAACATAAGAAAAGAGCTTTCAAAATACGTGGGGCAGCTCCAAAGCAAGAAAGGACGGTGAGATTCAGGAATCCAGAGCCTGGTGCATGGTGCTCTACAGTGCCAAGGCTGTGGAGACTGAGGATGAGAGCCAGGCTCTGTCATGAAGTTGGGGGTTGAGGACATAGCCTGGGTGAGCCCAGTCCATCCATGGACCTTTTGCTTTCAGTGAGGCTTCAGAGGTATCGCCACTGAATGGCTAGGGGCCCAGATGAGCCTTCCAGTTGAGTTATGATGGACCCTGTGGCAGTCCCTCACCCAGGATGATGCTTAGGGCAGGGACAAACAAGAAGCCCCCAGAGCTGAGCAGGGCAGGCTGTCCACAGTGCACCCAGTGGGAGCATTCACACCCAAGGAAACCAAGCTAACTAACAAGGCCGGAAATAACATAAGGTACTTGCAAATTCTCAAAGGATGGATCAGTATCCACAAAACAAGGACGCTATGAAAAAAGAATGAGTTTGGATCCTTATTGATAAAAAACAGCAAATGGGGACTTCTGGGGAATAATGGTATCTATTTAAATTTGTTTCATTGTGAAACAACATTAAAAACCACCATAAAGGTTTTGTTTTGTTTTTTCAAGGCATAAAATCCACAGGGATGAAGAGAAGAAGAGAGGAAACAAACAAATCCCTGATATTTTCTACTCTGGAAAGCAAAATGGGCAAATGGTAACTGTGCAGCAGACTGGAGAAGGCAAATAGTAAGTCAGCAGTGGGGAAGACTGAAAGAAATCAACCCATTTTACCCCAGACGTTGAAAAGTTCAGGAGCTGGAGGTACCAGGTACCTCTGGCCACACAGGTGAAGGGGCAGGGGCACCAGGCGGGCTGAGGAAGCTGTTTCAGAAGCTGAAGCTGAAGCTGGGCAGGGCTACTGCAGGGAACAGCCCTGGGTCTGTCTGCACAGAATTCTGAGGAAGCGGTGGGCAGTGCTGTAGCTGTGACTTTTGGACCTCCTCTCGCTTCCTGGCAAAGGGCTGGGTTGAGGGCGGGAGAGGACCCTGAGGGAGTCAAGGGAGTTAAGGGAAGTCACACTGGGCGCCGCGACGCTAGCCTCTCTCCCGGGATGCTGGCAAGAGGTTAGGAGTGCCTTCTTAGAACACTCAGAGGAGAGAACTGAAGATCCTCACAGCAGGGGTGCCTTCAAGCAGCCCAGCCAGACTGCCCTACGACTGCTTCAGTGGCATCCACTCATGCTCCACCCACCCACTCACGTTTCCCAAGAAGTGAGTCTCCTCCCCTCCCAGCCCTGATTTGTTGTCCTGGCCGATAAGACCCTCACCCATCTGCTCAGAGCTGCCAGAGGGACCAGAGACCACACTGGGAGAAGAAAGCTTAAAAAACAAGTTATTGTTATCCTCAGAGAAATAAGGAAAGATGTTACAACTGTAAGAATAACAGAAAGTGGTTTAAAAAAATGAACGTTCAGGGAAAGAAGACACTCCTGGAAATTAAAACTCTGCTAGCAGATATGCAAATCTCAAAGGAGGGTCTGGAGGCTATAACTGAAGACATTTTCCGGAAAATAGAGCAGAAAGAAAGGGATGGGGAAATCGCAGTGAAGAGAACATTGGAGGATCTGTCCTAGAGTCCAATAACCAAGTAACAGGCATTCCAGAAACAAGAGAACAGAACAATGGAGGGGAAGGAAATCAAAGAAACAATGCAAGCCAGTTTCCCACAACTGAGAAATGTGAATTTCAAATTTTAAGGGCTCACCAACAGTGGTGATAAAAAATGTTTTGACCCAGTTTCACAGCAATTAAAAAAAATGTTTTGAGACAGAGTTAATAAAAAGAATTCTTCAGCCAAAATTCAGTGTAATACAAATGTGTTTCAGATATGGACCATAGCTCAGAACTTTACTTCCCACACCAGAGTTCACAGGAAGATTCACCAGAACAAGGGGGTGGGACTTCCCGGGTGGCACAGTGGTTAAGAATCCGCTTGCCAATGCAGGGGACACGGGTTTGATCCCTGGTCCGGGAAGATGCACATGCTACGGAGCAACGATGCCCGTGTGCCACAACTACTCAGCCTGCGCTCTAGAGCCCGCGAACCACAACTACTGAGCCCGCGTGCTACAACTACTGAAGCCCATGTGCCTAGAGCCCGTGCTCCGCAACAAGAGAAGCCTCTGCAATGAGAAGCCCGCCCACAGCAACAAAGAGCAGCCCCCGCTTGCCGCAACTAGAGAAAGCCGGCGCGCAGGAACGAAGACCCAACGCAGCCCCCAAAATAAAATAAATAACAAGGGAGTAAACCAACATAGAGAAGGGGTCCAGGGAACAGGGAGCCTGGCCGACGGCAGACCATTGTAGGCTGTGTGGCTGAGGTGGACAGCACAGGGCATCTGGCCTGAGAGCAGGGTACCGCTCTGTCTTGCCCAGGCCCCACCCTGTGTCAAGGTCCCCCCTGTCTGCCCACCCTGTCTACTAACCTGCTGTCCCTCTCTGCCCCACCCCCCAATCAGTGGGATGCAAGCCCAGTACCCGGGGGCCATCCAGGGTGCCGGGGCTGGGAGCGGACGTGGGGAGCACAAGTCCTGCTCTCAGGAGGTTTTACTGGGGGCGGGGAGCAGCAGCTGGAGGGGCCATGAGGTTAGTGGGGGGCTTGGCTCTCGCGGGCAGGAGATGCTAAAGCAGGTTGAACGCTGCAGGCAATGGAGGAGCTCGGGGAATGCCGGAGTAAGGGGCCCACCTGAGCAGGGCCAGGAGTGGGATGGTCAGGGGTGGTGCTGCCCGTGTGGAGGGCCCCACATTACTCACCCGGGGAGAAGATGCTCCCAGCTTCCTCCTGCCACAGGGCCTCAGGGTGCTCCGTCCATGAGGACCCCTCAGGCCCAGTCTCACTATGGGGAGAGGCCTGGCCCAGCGCCACGCCACAGCCCTGAAACCACAGTGGTCACTGCTCGCCTGTGTCTGGCTAGGCCCAGGGAGGGACCTACCCAACCCCCACCCACTGAGGCTCCCAGAGCAGGGGCTCACCTGGGCCTCCTCAGGTAGGACAGTGGAAGTGGCCTCCTGGGGGTTGGTTAGAGGCCCAGAGTCCAGAAGCTCTGGAGAGGAAGGGTGGGGTCAGGCAGCTCCAGGGGCTCCCCACCCTGCTGCCCTCTTCAGTGGTGTGCCAGGTGCTGGGGTCCAGGTGGGGTGAGACCTGGGTGTAGACTTGGGGCTGGGCATGTCAGGGGGGCTCTAAGTGTCCACACAGGAATGGCAGAGAGTGTGGGTGGGCATGTCTGGCACTTGCCTGGGAGGCGTATGAGAGAAGGGAATGCTCCCCAGCACTTTGGGGTCCTCCCTCAGCTGTGCCCACCCATACTCCAGCCTTCTGTCTGCTCTCGAGCAATCGGCTAATGTCCCCCAATGGATCTCCTCAGGGAGTGAACCCCACATGCCTCCCACACCAGGAAACCCCAATAGCCAGCTCCATGCCAGCTGAGAACATGGAAGGAGCCACAGTGGTGACAGTCAGGCTTGGCATGCGAGGGATAATGACGGCCACTGGCTGGGCGGGATGTGGGGACCACCAACGCATGGGCAAGTTACCTACCCTCACCTGGATCCTCTGTAACCCCAGGCTCCTCTTTCACCCATAGGCCCAGTGACGACTCCTGTGTGGCCCCACGGGGCATCTCAAGTCCAGGTTCTGGAGTCCGAGGTGTGATTTGAGGGAGGGGCTGGAAGTCGGAGGGCTCCATCTTCTCTGATAGCACCTCCTGGCCTTGCACCTGGACTGTGACCTGGGGAGGTGCCCCCCACCATCAGGAGCTCAGGTAGGGAGTTCATGGGCACCCACCCTATCTTGGGACCCCAGGGGTCCTGACTGACTAGGTCCTCTAAGGACCCATGTCCACCAGGGACTGAGCAAGGAGCAAATGGACCACCTGCAGTTGCTCTCCTGCTGCTGACACCCACCCTCTCTCCCCACCCTGCATCCCTTGTCCATGCCTCTAGGTGATGGAGGGATGGGCCAGTAATGCTGGCCCTGGAACCCCGTCTGCCCTCACACAAGGTCTGCTGCAGGTGACCACTTCCAAACCACAAGGGACCAGTGTCTGGCTGAGCATGGCACCTCCCAGGGAGAGGCGGAGATGCATACTGTTCCAGCCCCGACCCCAGGGCCACTGACTCACCCATCTCCGGGGCCCTCCTGGCTCCCGGCGCAGGCCCTCGACCAGGGCAGCGGCCTCCTCAGGGCTACCTGGCTGCTGTCCCCGCACGCGGGCCTGGATCTCGGGGGGCAGCGCGCCCAGGAACTGCTCCAGCACCAGCAGCTCCAGCATCTGCTCCTTGGAGTGCACCTCGGGCCGCAGCCACTGGCGGCAGAGTTCACGGAGCCGGGCCAGCGCCTCGCGGGGACCCACTGCCTCCTCATAGTGGAAGTGCCGGAAACGCTGTCGTGCAGCCTCTGGGCCGGGATCCCATGGGGCGGCTTCACCCTCCTCCTCAGACTCCTCCAGCTTCACTGTGATGGGCCCCTCATCTTCTGGGGGTGCGTGGCCCGGGGAGCCCAGAGCTGTGGGCCTCATTGGAAAGACCAGGCTGGAGCTCTGAGGCCAGTGTCTCCCCCTGGGGGAGGAATGGGATGAGGCTGCTGCGATGAGGACAGTGGTGACAAATGCTTATTGAGAGCCTACTGGATGCTGTGCTGTTGAATCCCGAGACCTGCCAAGTGGAAGGAGGATGAGGAAACTGAGGCACAGAGGCAGTCCCGTACCAAGGACCTGTGGGGCTGGTGAGCCCTCGGTGAGCCTCTCTAGCTGGGCCTGTGCAGAGTCTCTGGTAGCCCCCTGTTCCTGGGCTGCTTCTTAGGCCCAGAAGGCACCTCGTCTCTCCCCCAAAGCCCACGCTTCTTCTACATGCACCACCTAACCCCTGCTCTGCATCCCTCTCTCTACCAGGTGAATGCCACCTACAACCTCCACTGCCTGGGCATCTACACCACTACCACCCCTCCCCCACCAACGCCAGTCTATCACTGCAGCGTCCACTCTCCCGCCTTGTCTGTCAGACCACTCCCCTCCCAGCGCGGTTTCACAGCGCAGCCTGACTGCACCTGCCCCACCCCACACCTGTGCAAGGTCACCTGTATGGCCCAGCACCCAGACACCATTCTCCCCCCATTCAGCCCCGTTCTCTGAGCCCGACTTATCACAACACGCAATGCCCCACTATCTCCTCCGTTTCCTGATTTAGGTGGGACTAGGAGGTAACAGGGGAGTTTTCAGAGGGGAGCTACAAAGGAGCCGAGACCACTGGACTCGGAGCCTGCAAGGAAAGTCGGAGATTCTGCCCAGCCTATTTGCCGCGTAACCTCGGCTTGTCGCTGTGCCACTGTGAACTCCGTTTCCCCCACCCCCACCACACTCGCGCTGCTCCTTATGCAACTGGAGGTACAGTGCAACCTTTGTAGAGAGATCTGAGTTTATTAAGGAAGTGGATTCGATTTCGAGGGCCGCCTGATCCCGTGGGTCTAACCTTCGCTCCTCAAGGTTCCAAGTCAACCTGAAACCCCAGGAGACAGCTGGGCCTCCGTAATCTGGCCGGCCCTGCGGAGCTCCCTGAACTACATTTACCAGAAGCCTGGGCGGGCACCTTCTGCTTTAGGGAGCCGGGACAGGTCCGGGTGCCGCCATGGCAACTGGGGGCGGGGACTCCAGATTCTGTCGCCGTGGCAACGCGCAGGGATTGACGAGCCGCGCGCGACAGCGCTGGGCCCGGCCACGGGGGGCACCCAGGCCCCTGTCCTACGCTCCCGATCCCGCTGGGCCGCCGCCCCCGTCCCCGCCCGAACCTTCCCGGTTGAGGGGCCCCCGCCCTCACCTCCGCGCTCAGCGGGCCGCTCCGCGCTCCTGAGCATGCGCACTCGCCGACCTTCCCTCCCCGGCCGGACTATGTCTCCCAGAACGCTCCACGCACCAGCCGGAAGCGCCGCCTTGCCCGTCCCCCACCCTCGCCTCAGTTTCCACCCTCCTCCCGCTGTGCCCCGGGGCAGCGTTGTTCGCAAAGATCGGGTCACACTCCGGGCCGCGTCTTCCCGCGCTCCCAGCCTCAAAGCCAGGCGTCCAGGCGCCCGTCGATGCGAGCAAGCTTCTCAGGGGGCAACGGGCGGCCGCACCGCCTTCCCAGCCGCTCATGCCGCCACCAAGTCTCCCTGAATTCTCTACGGGGCTTCCGGGGATTAGCAGGGCTCTGCACCAATCACGGCCCTCGCCAGGACGCCGTCAGCCCCCTGTCTCCATGGCAACCCCCTGTGGAGACCCGGCCACCCCTTCCACCGCCCTCAGGACCGCAAGCGAGCCTCTCCCACTTTCGCCTTGGAGAGAGGCTCGGCCGGCTCCTGTCCGGGAGGAGGTCAGCCAGTCCTCCGCGCGCGTGCGCGGCGCGATGACAGGTTTTTTTTTTTTTTTTTTTTTTTGCGCTCGTGGGCGGTAGGCGGGCCCGGGCGTCTTCATGGTAACCAGTGGGCCGTGCAGGCGGTTTCCAGGGCAACCCTGGGTACCGGCCGGCGTCTGAAAGAAGATGGGAGAGGTAGGCTGAGGGTAGAGATGCGGAGCGAGAGAGACAGGACAGACAGACACAGACTCGGGGGCGGGGAGAGTTGTGAGGAGAGACAGTGAAAGTAAGTGAACAGACACAGGGACAGAGACACGGGCAGGACAGAAAGAGACCTAGGTCAGAGAGTCAGGGCTGGGCAGACGTGTGTCAGAACAGTTAACAAGAGGGAGAGCGATCAGGGCGGGATGGAGAGGAAAGGAGAGACAAAGATTTACAGCGACAAGACGTGCAGCTCGAGATTCAAGGGACAGACAAGGATCAGGAGTACAGAAGCAAGAGGGGAGAAAGGGACAGACATTAGAGATACAGTAAAGTGGATCGAGAGTTTTTAAAGACTCAGAGAAGGGTGACAGCAAGAAGAGAGAAAGGCGGAGCGGGAGGGACACATGTTAAGAAAACTTATCCAAAACTTGCCATTAAGAGAAAAAAAGATGACTGGAAGAACTAGCACCGTCTCTACCAAGCCTGCTTCAGGTCATCTGATTCCCTAAGTGAAGCAACTTTTTTTTAAGTTAACTGCTTTTGATCAGAGTCCAGATACTGTGAAGTTAGATGCTAACGAGTAAAAGGTTGATAGGTTGTAAATGCTTTCTGTCCAGTAGAGAAGAGTACCCCAAGTTTTTTGTCACCCAGTAGGACACTAAGCAGGACACTAAGATGCCTGCCCACTGCCCCATGGGGCACTACCGATCCGACTTGGACTTTTATTTCACTGTTCGTTCTTTCACCCTTTCTGTTGTTCCTTCTCTCTCATCTTCCCGGAACCACCTGTGTCATCCTGCTAGTTGCCACCGGAGGTAAATAGATATTTGACGTGTGCTCACGGAGTTTGTTTTTAGCTGTTTCGAAAATTATATTTTGACAGTCTAAAGGGAACCATTTCTCCGGAATGGGGGACAGACAGGGAGAAAGAGAAAACAGTGAGACAGACCCAGGAAAGGAAAGGAGGTAGCGAGGATGGTGGGAAAGAAAGAGACCAGGTCCAGGCGCGGAGGCTCCGGTGGGCCTCACAGTGAGCTGGGCCCTGACTCATCCCGCGTGGGGAACGCGAGCCTCAGCCGGGCCTGAGGGTGACCCTCGGGGCGGCTGGTCCAGTCATGGCAGACTACTGGAGGTCACAACCAAAGAAATTCTCTGATTACTGCAGGTGCTGGATTGCGGACAATAGGTCTAGTGTTGAAGTTCATGAAACAGGAAAGAATCATAAGGAAAATGTGGCAAAGAGGATCAGTGAGATTAAACCGAAAAGGCTGGATAGGGCAAAGGAAGAAGAGAAGGCATCAAAGGAGTTTGCTGCAATGGAGGCAGCTGCCCTGAAAGAATACCAAGAGGATTTGAAAAGCCTTGGCTTAGAGTCAGAAACTTCAGAGCCAAGCATATCACCAGTAACCAGCACTATCCCATCCGCCTCTGCATCAAATCAGCAAAAGAAAAAAAGAAAAAAAAAGACCCTTCAAAGGGCAGATTGGTAGAAGGCATAACCTCTGAGGGTTACCATTACCATTATGATCTTATCACAGGAGAATCTCAGTGGGAGAAACCTGAAGGATTTCAAGGAAATTTTAAAAAGACGGCAGTGAAGACTGTTTGGGTAGAAGGTTTAAGTGAAGATGGTTATACCTATTATTATAATTCAGAAACAGGGGAATCCGGATGGGGAAAACCTGATGATTTCATTCCACACTGTGGCGATCTGCTTTCTAGTAAAGTCAATGAAAAGTCACTTGGTACCCAAGAAGAGTCCAAATCATCAGATTCACGTTGTGATTCTGATGTGGAACACCAAGCAGAAAAAGGGGGGGGGGACAGTGGGACTTCCCTGGTGGCGCGGTGGTTAAGAGTCCGCCTGCCAATGCAGGGGACACGGGTTCGAGTCCTGGTCCAGGAAGATCCCACATGCTGCGTAGCAACCAAGCCCGTGCGCCACAACTACCGAGCCTGCACTCTAGAGCCCGCGAACCACAACTACTTAGCCCACGTGCCGGAACTACTGAAGCCCGCGCGCCTAGAGCCCGTGCTCCGCAACAAGAGAAGCCACCGCAATGAGAAGCCCGCGCACAGCAATGAAGAGCAGACCCCGCTCGCCGCAACTAGAGAAAGCCGCGCGCAGCAACGAAGACCCAATGCAGCCAAAAATAAATAAATCAAAGAAAAAGGGGGGGGGAAAGGAGAGGTCTCTACAGAAATGCAAAAGCTAAAAGCAAAGTTTAAAGAAAAAAAATAGTGATAAAGGAACTGAATCGGAAACACAGAAAGAAAAAAATGCCCAAGGTTATTCATCAGGTCCAAATGAAGAAAAATCCAAAGCTCATAAAAAATCAGACCCATATGGAAGGACTTCCCTGGTAGTACAGTGGTTAAGACTCCGTGCTCCCAGTGCAGGGAGTCCAGGTTCTATCCCAGGGAACTAGATCCCCTATGCCAAAACTAAGACCTGCTATAGCCAAAATAAAAGTAATAATAATAAAGAAAGCTCCTTTGTGTTTGTTTTACATTACTTAATGCTAAAATTTTAGACTTATTCTGAATGTATTTTATGTGAATTTAAAATAACTCTTTTTTCGTGTGAAATTGATCTTTGTTCCTAAAATGGAAGCCTACCACATTGCATTGTAATACAGTGTATTATGTTCAGTGTCTAAAAATTGCTAATTACATCATAATATAAGATGCTATGTATCTGTTATTTAAGACATGGAAAAGTAAGGCCTTTATTCAATTCTTACTCGTACGAATATACTTATACTGCACTGAAAACGCATTACTTTAAAAAAAAATTTATTTATTTGGTCTCACCAGGTCTTAGTTGCGGCAGGCAGGCTCCTTAGTTGTGGCATGCGAGCTCTTAGTTGCAGCATGCATGTGGGATCTAGTTCCCTGACCAGGAATCGAACACAGGCCCCCTGCATTGGGAGCATGGAGTCTTATCCACTGCGCCACCAGGGAACTCCCGAAAGTGCATTACTTTTGCACACTGATATTATTCAAGAAATAAGAATTAGACCACGTAAGAGAAGATTCACAACCTGTGATAATTTAGTTCTGAGGATCCTGTCAGAAGGCTGATGTAGAAAGTGTATGTATATTGGCTTACCTTACTCAATTTAAGGTCAAGGGCCAAGAACCGGGACTGCAGCTCAGGTCATGCTTAATATGGAATGAAAACTGGACCAAAGATGTATCTGCCTGGTTCAATGTAAAGTGGCAACCATTGCTTAAGCATTTTCACCTTGAGCCAGGCACTATGGTAGGAACTGGAGATGTAAAGGTGAACAAGACATATCTCTGTTCTTCATGGCTTCTCATTCTGACGGAGTCCTTTTTTCCCTAGTCGTGCGCTCTGTGTAGAGGCCTTACATATACTGGAAAATATTTTTTAGGGTTTATTTAAAACTATGTAGATGAAGTCTTGAACAAAAATAGTAAGTTCTCTGACTTCAGTAAAATATTTTGGTGTTCCTTTAGAGAAATTGGAAAGTTCCCATTTCCTGGTTAAATTTCTTAAAAAGTGGAATTTTCTTATTTAATTCATTTGAAGTAGGTACCTTCCCTTTATTATTCCAAATTCTTAAAATTATATGTTTTTGTAAACTGTACAGTAGTTAACATTTGGTAGTAAATATTTGTCTTTTTAAGGTTACTAGTGTACATGTAAGAAAATTATAGGTTATTAAAAACTTTATAAAAGAAGAAAAAAAAAAGAAAGAAAAGAAAGAGACCGAAAGTAGATGGCAGGAAAGACAGGAGAGAGAAATTAATAGGCGAGAAATCCGGCCTTGGGCAGAGGCGGCCTTGGGCGCCCCCGCCTGGACTCTGTGCTCGGCGGCCTCGTCGCCGAACTACGTTTCCCGGTAGGCCCTGGGCGACTGGACGCAGCACCTAGCCCGCCATCGGGGGCGGGGCCCACGCTGCCTCCTCCAATCCCGGCCGTCGCCCGGCAACCTCCGCCTCCGCCGACAAGATGGAGGCTGGCTTCGGCAGCCGCCGGGAAGCGGCACCTGAAGCCGGAGATGGGGAGGGGCCGCAGCTCAGTCGGCCCACTTGAGGAAGCCGGCCCACGTCGCGGTCCGGAGGTGAGAGCGGTCGGGCGCGTGGGAGCCCGGGCTCCGGGGGGAAGGGGCCGAGGCGCCTATACCCTTGGTTCCCGTGGGGGGAAGGGAACGGACGCGCGCGAGGGGGCCAATCGGGGCCTCCGGCGGCCCCGCGGCCTTCTGGGAAATGTAGTCTCGAGCCTTCCCCGTGGGCGGGCTTGGGGACTTTCTAGAGCGGGAGGGTGAAAATGAATGAATTTAATTTAAAATTGTGGGTGAGGGACTTACCGGGTGGTGCAGTGGTTGGGAATCGAGCCCTGGTCGGGGAAGATCCCACATGCCGCGGAGCAGCTAAGCCCGTGTGCCACAACTACTGAGCCCGCGTGCCACAACTACTGAAGCCCACGCGCCTAGAGCCCATGCTCGTCAACAAAGAGAAGCCACCGCAGTGAGAAGCCCGCGCACCTCAACGAAGAGTAGCCCCCAGTGGCTGCAACTAGAGAAAGCCCGTGCACAGTTACGAAGACCCAACGCTGCCAAAAATAAATAAATAAATAAATTTATTAAAAAAAAAAATTGTGGGTGAGCAGGCGAAGGCAGGCATGTGGAGACGGAGGGATGGGCGCGTGAGTGGTTCGGAATTTGGGGCCTCCTTCCAGGCAGGAAGCCTTCCCCATGCCCACCTCCCCTTTAAGCCAGGTGCAGCCCATGGGTCCCTGAAGGTACTCTTCCTCGGTGCCATAGACACTCCCAAAACACAAAGACCTGTCAGGTACTGTCCTTGTTTTTCACACGCATTCCTTCATAAAAAAACTTTTACTGTTTTGATCAGGTGCTACTTTCACATGGTTTGAAATGCAAAAGGGACAAAGCGAGAAGCCTGCCTCCATCACTATACTTCATTAAGTAATTCAGTCAGCAAGTGACTGTTGGATGCCTCCAAAGTGCCAGGCTCTCTTCCTGGGCCTGGAGACCCAACAGAGTGCTCAGTATGTACAGCTCCTTACCTCAGGCAACGTGTGATGGATGCATAATAAAATATAGGTGATTAGGTTACATTTGAGCAGAGACCTGCAGAAGAGGGAATAAGCCATACAGATTACAGGGAAGAGCCCCCAGTGGGCCAAAGAGCCACAGTAGCTAAGGCCCCTGGGTCGGGAGTGCCCTTAGTGTACCCTGAGGATGTGGTCAGGAGTACGCAAAGGACAAAGGAGGCCCTTGACAAAGCTGGTGATTATTGTGGCTTTGACTCAGAGAGGTGGGAGGCCTGAGAGGGCTCTGAGCAGAGGAGCCACTGTTTTGTTTGTTTGCTTTTTTTTCTTTGCCACGCCGTGCGGCTTGCTGGGATCTTAGTTCCCTGACCAGGGATTGAACCTGTGCCCCCTACAGTGGAAGCCTGGAGTCCTAACCGCTGGACGGCCAGGGAATTCCCCCCGACTTGGTTCTTAGAGAATCATTCTGACTGCTGTGTGGAGAACCACCTTCCTCCTCTATCCCCAGGTACTCCACGGTGGTGGCAAGAATTAAGGAGGTTACCTTCTGTGTTAGTTTCCTGTGATTGCTTTACCATATTACTACAGACTTTAGTGGTTTATTTATTTTTAAATTAATTAATTAATTAGTTTATTTTTGGCTGCGTTGGGTCTTCGTTGCTGCGTGCGGGCTTTCTCTTGTTGTGGCAAGCGGGGGCTACCCTTCGTTTCGGTGTGCGGACTTCTCATTGCGGTGGCTTCTCTTGTTGCGTAGCACGGGCTCTAGGTGCGCGGGCTCAGTAGTTGTGGCTCGCGGGCTCTAGAGCGCAGGCTCAGTAGTTGTGGCGCATGGGCTTAGTTGCTCCGCGGCATATGGGATCTTCCCGGAACAGGGCTCGAACCAGTGTCCCCTGCGTTGGCAGGCGGATTCTCAACCACTGCGCCACCAGGGAAGTCCCGACTTAGTGGTTTAAAACAACACAAATTTATTATCTTAGAGTCTTGGAGGTCCGACATCTGAAATGGGGCTCCTGGGCTAAAATCAAGGTATTGGCAGGGCTGGTTCCTTCTGGAAGCTCTAGGCTTCAGTGGTCACATTGCCTTCTGACTGAGTGAAATCTTCTGTGTCCTCTTACAAGTATCCCTCTGATTACGTTTAGGGCCCACTGGGATAATCCAGGATAATCTCCGCCTCTCACGATTATTAACTTAATCACACCTGCAGTGTCCCTTTTGCCCTGAAAGGTGAACTTACTCATAGGTTCCTGGGATGGGGATGTGGATGTGGGTGTGGTTAGGAGCCATTATTCAGTCTCCCACACTGATGTTCCATGTCTCTGAATAGCATGGAGATGCTTCTGCTCATCAGTGTCTGAGAGATGGGTCAGGATTTCTAGACTCTTTGCATCTCCTTGTGGTTGCAAGAGGTTTTCTGGGGGAAGAACAAAGTCTCCCCACAGCACTTTTTTTGGTCTCATAAGCTAAAACTAAATGAAATGCTCCTGTACACGCAAAGTATGCTCGGAAGTGTGTATGCAGTGTCTTTAGCGTTAGGGAGAGAAGGGACTGGGCCTGCCTCTGAGGCAGTGCTCAGCAGGGCTGGGGGCCTCAGGTCAGAGCATGGGAAGGCCAGGCAGTGGTCCAGACTCTCATGTACTCACACATTAATGCCCATGTGTTCTCCTCTTCAGGCAGAGGCGGGCGTGGCGGGAGAGGCCCAGAGGCCATTGTGGGCACGGCAGTAGCTACCGTGGACGGGCAGTGGGGAGAGAGCTTGTTGAGGTGCATGGCTCGGGGAAGCGGCATGAAGACCACCCCCCACCCGCAGGTGCTGGGGAAGGCGCCCCTTGGGATTGGCCTCCGCCACAGTGCCAAGCGGGACCGGAAGTCCATCACCCTGCATGTGAAGTTGGAGGTGCTTCGGAGGTTTGAGGAGGGTGAGAAGCTGACACAGATCGCCCGGGCCCTGGGACTGGCCACCTCCACGGTTGCCTCGATCCGCGTGAACAAGGATAAGATCCGGGCCAATTCCCAGGCAGCCACGCCCGTCAGCACCACCCAGCTGACCCGCTGCCGGGGTGTGCTGATGGGCCGCATGGAACGCCTCCTGAGCCTGTGGATTGAGGAGCAGAAGCGGCAGAACCTGCCTGTCAGCACGCTGCTTATCCAGGACAAGGCGCGCCGGCTCTTTGCCCAGCTGCAGCACGAGCAGGGCAGCGGCGCCCAGGCCGAGACGTTCGGGGCCAGCAATGGCTGGTTTGCCCGTTTCAAGGTTCGCCACAATGTGCTGTTGACGGATGAGCCGGCTGTGGCCGACGCCCAGGCTGCCGCACGCTACCCCGTGGTGCTGCGCGCCATTCTGGAGGAGGGCTGCTACTCACCACGGCAGGTCTTCAACGTGGACGAGACGGGCCTGTTCTGGAAGCGGCTGCCTGAGCGCATGCTTCTGGCACTGGAGGGGACAGCTGGGCCTGGGCCCAAGGCCTCTAAGGACCACCTGACCCTGCTGCTTGGTGGCAATGCGGCTGGTGACTTCAAGCTGAAGCCCCTGCTGGTGTACCCCTCGGAGAACCCGCGTGCCCTCAGGGGCTGCTCCAAGGCCAGCCTGCCTGTGGTCTGGCGCTCCAACCGCAATGACTGGTTGACACCTAGCATCTTCCAGGAGTGGTTTACTGGCTGCTTCTGCCCAGCTGTGGAAAGCTACTGTACCAGCCATGGCCTCCCACACCGCGCCCTGCTGCTGCTGGACAGCGCACCCTGCCACCCTGTCCACTTGGGTGGCCTCTCAGCGCATGTGCGTGTTGAGTTCCTGCCCAAGAACACGTCAGCCCTGATCCAGCCCATGAACCAGGGTGTCATTGCTGCCTTCAAGGCCCATTATCTGCGCCGCACGCTCAGCCAGCTGGTCCAGGAGACGGCGGGTACAGACCGGCCCTCCGTGCGGGAGTTCTGGCGCAGCTATACTGTCATGACCGCTGTAGACAACATTGCTAAGGCCTGGGCAGAGCTGCAGCCTGCCACCATGAACGGTGCCTGGAGGAAGCTGTGGCCCGAGTGCGTGCCCGCTGCTGCCCCCGAGCCCAACGCCCTCCCCCAGCTCCGTCACAGCACTGTGACACTAGCCAGCCACGCAGGCCTCGGGGATGTGGCTGAGGCCGGTGTTGCCCACCTGCCGCAGGCCCATGGGGAGCCCTCGCCCCGCAGCATCCCCCAGGAGGTGGAGGTTGGGGGTGTCAGTGACTCTGGGCTGCCCTGTGAGGCGGGGAAAGGCTTGGCCTCCAGAAGACCAGAGTCAGATCTCATGGAGGCCATGGTGGGTGTGGAGACTGAGGAAGTAAGTGTGGGTGCACTGCGCCCTGAGCACCTGGCCCAGGCGCTGTCGCACTTTGCTGCTGGCCTGCGAGTCCTCATAGAGAACGATCCCAACCGGGAACGCAGCCTGCGGGTGTCCCGGGGTGTCCACTGTGCCCTCGCCCACCTCCGAGAGCTGCAGCGGGAAAGGAGGCGACAGGCTCGGGCAGTTGCGGGGCCTCAAGGGGCCCCATGATGGTGGCAACAAAGGAGTTGGCAGAAAGCCTGCACTCACCCCAGGTGGGGCCCACAGAGGGTGGGCAAGTGGCCAAGGGCACAAACCCTGAAGGACAGACCTCTTTGGCTGTCCTGTGTGATTTAGGGCTTGGGCCTGACCTCAGATGAGCTTTGTCTGATGATGTTTTGTTTCTGGAGGGTAGACACTGCCACTTCTCACCCATGGTTCTCGTACCTCATGCACTGCCATCTTTGTGCAGTGGCACCCAGAGTGTCAGGCTTGGGGAACAAGAGGGTGGCGTTCTCTGATTGGCAGATGAGCTGCGGGACCCAGGAGTGCCCATCCGTGTCAGAGACACACCCTGTAGCACAGCATTTGCCAAGCACAGCCCACCAGGGTAGCCTTCCTTGTGGTGAGGGGCCAGGGTTGAGACAAGCCTCTCCTATTTGTCAACCCTGACCTGTCCGTGCACCGTTGTTACTCTTCGTAGCCAACTCTAGGTGGGGGTTTCCTGCTCTCCTTGCTCACGTTCCGTGCCATCCTCACTCTTTCTGGCTTCCACGGTTTGTGTTGTCTGAGGTTTCTGGTACCTTCCCTGTGCCCGAGCCTATGGGCGTGTGTGGCTTTCCTTGGTTTGGAGATATTTTCTTCCCTGGGTTTCTGTGCCGTGGTTGTCTTGGCTTCCCTCCAGCCTCTGAGGCTGAGCCTTCTGACACTTTGATGGTCTCCCAGATCTAGAGCTCTTTGGAAAATCTCAGCCATTTTTGAGGGCTCAGTGGCTACCTCAGGGTCAGCTCCCAGCACATTGGCTGCAGCCCAGCCTCTCCCCAAGGTTAGAAACATGGCTCCAATTCCAGTGGATTGGCTCCTTGGACGGTCTTGTTATCTCCGTCATTCCAGCTTGTTCTCCTGTCCCCCTAGATTGTAACAGCAAGCACACTGGGGTATCCACTTGACTCTGTAGACATACCATATGGGCCACCAAAACCCAGAGAGTCATCAAGGGAAGGAGTTCTTGTACTCCAGCTAGGTGAGCCACAGGCGGTGAGACAGGGCTGCCTGGCCTCCTGGACTCCTTTCGACACAGGTACCTGCATGTGTCCGTGAACGTGTGCGCGCGACACACACACGCATGCCAAGAGTAAAGTTGGGAGAAAGGATTCCTTCTACCTCTGTCCCAGCTAACACTTGAAGTGCTGGGCCTGCTGTCAATACGTAAAAGGGGCCGGAGGCCAGGGAGGGGTTCCAGGGTCCAGCCTTCCTGGGAGAAAGGTCAGATGAGGCCCCTTGTTTGCTTTCTTGGGGAGAGTGGCAAAAGGGATGGCAAGGAGAAGTAGAAGAGCTTTTTTTAGGAGCCTGGTGACTGGATTAATAAACTGCACAAATTATAAGCACTTGTAATGTGCTAGGTGTTGGGGAGACCAGGGTGGGAGAGACTGGCTTCAGGAGCTGCCGGTCCAAAGGCTGTTACATTCTGTGTGACGACGGCTATGACGGGCGACTTGTGAGGGACCTAAACCTAGCTGGGGTCAGAGGAGAGGACATGATAGGGAAGGCTTTTTGGGGAGGTGCTGCCCCAGCTTTTGGAAACCGGTCATTTCAAAATGCCAGGCATCACAGAGGGGCCTGTTTAGGCGGCCCAGCACGGTTTGGCTGGTGAAGCCCTGAGGACGGGGAAGCAGGAGCAGCCTCGATGGAGGCGGAGTGCGGCACAGCAGCTGCAAGAGGCAGGTGACCAGGTGGGAGGAAATGCCACATCCGCCGGGCGGGAGTAGAGAGGCAGCTGAGGGGCAACCTGGCACAGTCGAGCGGACGGATAGCGAGGGGATATGAGGTCGCGCGAGCAGGGCGTGGCGGAGACAACGCGCGGACGGGCCCATGTGGCTCCATAACTCTACCTCGGAACCCGGGACACCGCCAGTCGCACCACTGGCGCCCCCTTGCAGGCCCCTGAAGAACTCCATTTCCCGGCGGCGCCGAGCGCTGGTGCTCGCTGCCTTCTGGGAAATGTAGTGTCTATAGGTCACCCGGGCTGTTACTGTGGCGGGCCAAGGACTACATTTCCCAGAGGGCTTCGCGGACAGGGCCGGGCTTGCGCACGTTCCACTTCCGGGCGCCGCACGTCGCCAAAGAGTTGCAGAAGTATACTGTTACCTCCCCTTCACCTCCGTGCGCTGGCCTGTCGTGGGGAGGTGGGTGGTTGCTAGGGAAGAGAGGGAAGGGGCGGGGTGGGCATAAGGCACCGGAAGTAGTCCTTGGGACGGACGGAAGCTCGTGGTCCTGGGGCCCCAGGGTGGTTGGTCTTTGTTCCAGCACGGTGTTGTTTGACGCCGTCCGCGTGGCTTCCGGGGGCGGTGAGTCTGGGCGCGACGCGGTGGAGGCGTCGGAAAAGCCCGGGGTAGGGTGTGCAGCTGGCCAGAGGGCGGCAGGAGAAGGGGGGGGCGGGGGAACACCAGCTGCTTTCCGAGGACTCCGGCGAGTCCACGGGGAAGGGCGGCGCGTGGGCTGCTGGGACATGCAGTCCGGCGGGGCTGGGCCTGCACCGGAAGTGATTCTGGGCCGAGCTGGGCTCTCGCCATGCCTCGGGGGTCGTGCACGTGCACCCGCGCTAGTCCCTTTCTCGGCGGAATTCCTGGGCTTCTGTCCACGTTTCCACCCAGCTCCCCGTAAACTCACCTCCCCTGGAAAGTCTTCCTGGATTTCTGCAGCTCAGACCACCTCTTTGTTCCTGCTGCACCTGCGTGCGTCCCTCTATAAAGTGAGACTGCGGGCGGGGTGGGGGGACGCTCCCCGCACAGGGGGATTAAATCCAGATCCTTCCCTGGCCGAAGGCTGTGCAAGTTCGCCCAGGCCACACAGCCTTCGCATTTGCTGTTTCCGCTACGTAGACCGTCCTCTACTCTAGCTGTCATCTCAGGGTACTTGGGGGTGAGAGCCGGGGGTTGGGGGCTGTTGGATGGGGCGGCCTGGTTCAGGGGAATCCTGACCAATGCTTTAAAGACGTGCATTGGCATTGAAAATGATCTGTGTTCTTTTTTCTTAAATATTTATTTATTTTTCTTTTTGGCTGTGTCGGGTCTCAATTGCGGCACGCGGGATCTTCATTGCGGCGCGTGGGCTTCTCGTTGCGCGCGGGCTTCTCTCTAGTTGCGGCTCGCATGCTCAGTAGTTGTGGCGCGCAGGCTTAATTGTCCCGCGGCATGTGGGTTCTTAGTTCCCGGACGGGGCATTGAACCCACACCCCGTGCATTGGAAGGCAGATTCTTAACCACTGGACCATCAGGGAAGAAGTCCCAATCTGTGTTCTTTTCTAAAGTTACAGTGGTAGCAAATGGCCGTTGGCAGAAAAATTCAGGTGCCCTGCAGACATTACAAAAGAAAAAGCAGATGTCCTCCCCCAGTTCCTTTCTCCAGAATTGCCAGCTGAGGCGTTGCTGGTTTTCAGGATCCTTTTCTGAACACTTGTAGCAGTAGCTCCTGTTTTTTGTTTTGAAATTTTAACATTAGTGGGATCATGTCAATTGAGGAGGACCACAGCTTACTTTCTTGTTTAGCACTGTAGCGTGGACGTCTCTCTCACTGTCCATTGTTGACCTTGACTAGTTGAGTTGGGCCGAGCCTCTCAGGCCCCATAGGATTGTGCCATGAGGGAAGGAAGTCCTTCCAGTGTAGGAACCAGCTCTTGCTCTCCCTGTGCGGCTGCACTGCAGCCGTCCCCACTACCATCTTGGCCTTCCAGCCTGTCCCCCACATCACTCTTTCTAGTGCCCCACAGACTGCATCCTTCACTTGCACAGAGCCTCCCTGGGCACGGACCCTCCCTGGGCACTGAGTCTCTGCTAGTTCCCGCCAGCACCTCTGCTTGGCTGCTGATGGGGTTCTCTCCACCACTGAGACACTGGACACGTCCACGCCCCATCCCCAGGAGCAGCCCTCCTACGGGCCCAGTCTGGCCTGAACTCCTGTAGGCTTCCCTGCAGGAAGCGCTCCCTCACTGTCCTAACCAGATTCCCAGTGTGAGGCATCCTCTTGAGGGCACAGATAGGGAGGTCGAGGCTGGAGGTGTCCCCCTGCCAGGTTGTCAGCTGGCCAGGTGTGGGGACAGTTTCCGCCACAGCAAGTGACCTTGCAGGCTGTGAGTCGGTGGAGGGGTGTGGGTGGTCCATGGCCCTGATTGGGTGGGTGTGTGTCCCAGGAAGACGGTGTGTGTGGCCTGAGTGAAGGCAGAGAGGCCAGCTTCCCCAGGTTTCGCCATGGCAGCCGACCCAGCACCCATCGGTCAGGAAGAGCTCGTGATCATCAAGATGGAGGAGGATGAGGCCGCCCTGTGGGATCCTGAACCGTTCTTCAAGCCTCAGCCCCAAACCCTGTTGCCTGGGCTTGGTAGGGACCCCCGGCAGTGCTTCCGGAGCTTCCGCTATGAGGAGGCAGCAGGGCCCCGCGAGGCGCTGGCCCGGCTCCGGGAGCTGTGCCGCCAGTGGCTGCGGCCCGAGGTGCACTCCAAGGAGCAGATGCTGGAGCTGCTGGTGCTGGAGCAGTTCCTGGGCGTGCTGCCACCTGACACCCGGGTCTGGGTGGAGTCCCAGTGCCCCGAGAGTGGCGAGGAGGCTGTGGCACTCGTGGAGGACCTCGCTCAGATGTTGCAGGAGACTGGTGAGCCACGGGGGACTGGGCTTGGGGGCAGGGAAAGTGCAGGGGGACACAACTCATGACGCCGGGTCCTGAGTGCCTGCCCGCTCTGCCCAGGCCCTGTGTCCTCATCTCTGGGAAGAAGACTCAGAAGCTGTGACATGTTTGGAGACTTTTCTAGACTCTTAGCCTCCAGAGGTGTGAGCCTGGGGTTGGCGTAGCATTTCCCCTGCTCAGGTGCACTGGCCTTCTTTCTCTTCCTTTTCTCCTTCCTGACAAAGTCACGGAGTGCATGCCATGTGGCAGGCCCTGTGGGTCCAGCAGGGAAGGGAGAGAGGCAAGGTCCTTGGCCTGTTGGAGCTCAGTCTGGTTTGAGAGTTGGACAGTGAGACCTCCAATCACAAGTAGGGTGTGTTTCTTTCTCTAGAGGGGGTGGAGGCAAGAGGAGGTGGGCACAGAGGTTGGCCCGGCCAGGGGTGGCTTTGCAGTTCGTGCTTTGTGACGTCTTCACCTTGGACGTGTGCTTCCGCACCTGTGAGGAGGTGACAGCCGTGCAGCAGGGAGGAGAGATGGTTGGTTACCGCCTCGGTCCACCCTGGCATGTGTTTACTTATTTACTCATGTGTATTTGTGCAGTTCCTTTTGCCTGCTTGGCCCCTTGTATCGAGGGGTGGAAACCATAGCACTTAAGCAAACAAAAACCCAGCTTTATTAGGCTCTAACCCACATAATCAAAAAATGGTACACTTAGTGGGTTTTAATGTATAGTCACAGGTTTGTACAACCATCACCCATGTCTAATGTCATCACCTTCAAATAAACTCCGTGCCCGCCAGCAGCCACTCCCCATTCTTCCCTTTCCTAGTGCCTTGGCAGCCAGGAGCCTGCTTTGTGTCTCTGTACACTTTCTTATTCTGGACGTTTTATTAAATGGTATCATACATTTGCTGGAGTCATACATGGCTCTTTATGATGGGCTTCTTTCATCGAGTGTAGTGTTTCCAGCGTTCATCCACAGTGTAGTACGTCACTCATCTTTATGCCTAGTCATATTCTGTTGTGTGGTTATACCACATTCTGTTTATTCATTTATCTGTTACGGTTATTTGGGTTGTTTGTACCTTTTGGCTGTTACGATTAATGCTGACGTGAACTTACGTATACTTTATTCTCTTGGTTATATACCTAGGAGTGGAATTGCTGGATCACATGGTAACTCTGGCCTTTTGAGGAACTGCTAACACACCACTTGTTTTAAGAGAGGGGATTTAATATAGAGAGTGTAACCTAGGCATTGAAGGAGTAAAAAAGTAGAGAAAGAACTCTAAGGTGTCATGGCGGTAGGAACTGCAGGGAACTGTGTCCGCTCCGGGAAGAGGTCGGAATTATGACAGTTAGAGACTCAAAGGAGGGGCTGGGAGGTGGGGCTGCTGCTGGATGGTGCTGGGGTCTCCCAGGGGGACAGCATGCAGCTGGTTCTGCACATGTTGGAAAAACTGCAAACTGGATCTAGCTGCTGCTAAAGAAAACCTTGATAATGCATGACTGGTTTTCACCCAGGCATGAACGTGAGGTGCAGGTGAGACACCTTGTACGCATGGGTCCACAGTCCTCCTAGGGTGTCTGGCTGTCATGCTGGGCTGCTCTCTGAGCCATGGGCAGCATTTGTCGTCTTAGGGGCCTGTTCTTAGGGAACTGTGCCCGTTCCCAGCTTCCCACTGGACGGGTGCTTAGGTGACGCGCACTATTAGAAGAGATTTTGCATCGTAAGAGTGTGGACGTTGAGAAAGCAGCCTGCTGGCACTGAACGGACTTAGGCCTGGTGCTCTCGAGGATCCTCTGGGGCATGCATGGTTATGTCCACTCAGCTCTGAAGCCGCATGGTCTCACGTTTACACGAAAACTCCTGCCTTTGCTCCGTACCCTTACCTGCTCTCAGCCTGTTGCTGGCCCCTTCGATGCCCCCACATGGGAGAGGGTAGGACCTGGCCCTGGCTTTCTCTGGGTGGTTTTGGAGATGACTGCGCTGATGCTATCAGGGAGACCAGAATGATGTCCCAAGCTCTTCCTTGGCTGTCACTGTTGCTGTGTGTTCGGGGGTCCCAAAGACCCCCCTTAGCCTCAAGTGATTTGCTAGGAGTCACAGAATTCAACAAGGCTATTATATTCGTGGTTGTAGTTTATTACAGTGAAAGGATGCAGATTAAAGTCAGCGGTGGAAAAAGGTGCCTAGTCTGGGAGATACCAGGCACGAGATTCCGGGTGTCCTTTCCTGTGGGAGTCGTGTGGGTCGTGCTTAATTCCCACAGCAGTGATGTGCAACGACACACACAGGATGCTGCCACTGGGGGGCTCGCTTGCAGTGACGTCCAGGATTTTTACTGGGGGTCAGTCACCGAGTTATGGAACATGACTGACCTTAGTTACTCAGCCTGAACTCCCGCCAGAGGTCAGACCTGTACAGTGTGGCCCAGGGTTACTACCATGTCACATTGTTAGCATGAACTATCTGTGTGACCCAAGAACTTAGGTAAACAAAGATGTTCTTATCAGGCAGAATCTTCCAAGGGCTTAGAGGTCTCCTCCCAGGAGCAGGTCAAGGGCCAGACTTTCGTTTGGAGTGTGGAGGGTTTGGACAGCTCAGGCCTGCTGAGTCAGCCCTTTACTGACCACCGAGCTGCAGCTGAAGGAAGCTTCTAATGACTATTTCCTTGGTGTTTCAGTGACTTGGGTTTCAGGGGCCTTGGGTGTGTTCTTGAGGTACGTACGTGTGTGGGCATCGGAAGGGGCTGCCTGTCACCCAGGGTACGGTGTTCTCTGTGAATCAGAGGGCAAGCGGTGTGTCATCTGGCTCAGAGTGTCTGGCCAGTAGGACATGTTGACCTCCGGATTGATTAATGGGCCTGGGTGCCTCACCCCTTTGTCCCCAGGGTGGGCCTGCAGACACTAACACTGCTCTTTCCCCTCAGCCCTGGCCCAGGCCCCTCCCGAGGACCAACGGTTTGGAGACCTGGCAGAGCCGGCCAAGCCCTTCACGGATGGAGCTCAGGTGAGCTGTGAGTCCTCCAAAGTCAGAGATGCCACATCCTGTGGGACCCCGCCCGCCTTCCCCCGCCCTTCACCCCAGGCCGTGGAGGGTCACATTCCGCAGCTGTGCCCAGCCCCCACCCCCACCACCCCTCGCCCTCAGGCTGGGCTCAGGACCTGCCCTTCACCCTCTCCCAGCTCCTGGGTCTGAGGATGGGGCCTCCCCAGGCTCACACCATTTGAATACAGAGTACAGTAAGTCCCCTACACACAAACCTCCAAGTTACGAACTTTCAAAGATGCGAACATGCGTTCGCATGTCCAATCACGTAAGTTAGTTCACATGTCTGGCGTACATTGTCATGTGCGTGCATCCTCTACAAGTGGTTGTGCTTTTGTGTGCTTTACAGTACTGTATAGAGTACAGTAGTACAGTATCTTTATTTCAAGCCCAGGATGTCCGGAAGCAAGCGTAAAAGCAGCGGTGATGTAGCTGGTACTGCTAAGAAGCGCCACGCGATAACGATGGAAACAAAAGTGAAAATAATTGAGAGAGTGGAGCGAGGCGAAAAGATGGTAGACGTCGCTCATTCTTATAACCTGAATCGTTCAACCATCGGCTCAATCGTAAAGAACAAGGACAAGATCATGGAACACGTGAAGTCTGCTATGCCGATGACGTCGACAATAATAACAAAGAAGCGTGGAAAAGTGATGGAGGAGATGGAGAAACTTCTCAGTGTGTGGATGCAGGATCAGCGTCAGCGTCGAGTCCCACTCAGCTTAATGCTGATTCAAGAGAAAGCTAAGAGCCTTTATGAAGACTTGAAGAAGAAACACGGCGAAGAATCAGAGGGCAAATCTTTTAATGCCAGCCGTAGCTGGGTTCACCGGTTCAAGGCTAGAGCCAAACTTCACAATGTAAAAGTAAGTGACAAGGCAGCAAGTACAGATACGATAGCTGCCCGGGAATTTCCTGAAACGCTTCGAGAAATTATTGATGAAGGCGCGTATTTACCCGAGCAGGTGTTTAATGTGGACGAGACAGGATTGTACTGGAAGAGGATGCCGGACCGAAGTTACATCAGTAAGGAGGAAAAGTTGATGCCGGGCTATAAAGCATCAAAGGATAGGCTCACGCTGTTGTTTGGTGGCAATGCCTCTGGTGATATGAAGCTGAAGCCTCTCTTAGTTTATCATTCAGAGAACCCAAGAGCCCTTAAAAACATAGCCAAGGGCTCTCTTCCTGTTGTGTGGAAGAGTAACCCCAAAGCCTGGGTTACACAGGCCATTTTCCAGGACTGGTTTTTCCACCACTTTATCCCGGAGGTAGAGAAATATTGCTTGGAGAAGGACGTCCCATTCAACATTCTTTTGCTGCTTGACAATGCTCCGGGCCACCCCCCATTCATGGACGACTTTCATCCCAACGTCAAAGTAGTGCATCTGCCACTGAATACTACAGCGCTCATCCAACCTATGGACCAGGGAGTTATAGCGACTTTCAAGAAATACTACTTACGTCACACTTTTCGTCAGGCAGTAAAGGCGAGTGACGAATCAGGAACAACCTTGCGACAATTTTGGAAGGACTATAACATCTACAAGGCCATAAAAAACATTGACTTTGCCTGGAGTGAGGTTACGGCCGTCACCATGAATGGGGTTTGGAAGAACCTTTGCCCGAAGTTTGTTCACGATTTTCGTGGATTTGAGAAGGTGGATGAGGAGTCCAAAGAGGTCTTCAGCAACTTAGTGACCCTCAGCGAGAAGCTGGAGCTAGATCTGCAAGAGGACGACTTCATTGAACTCCTTGCTGTGCAACATGAGGAGCTCACTAATGAAGACCTGATGGAACTGGAGGCCCAGAGAAAGGATGAAGAGGGACAGGAGGAAGAAGAAGTAACTGAAGAACCGAAGAGATTCACAACGCAGGAAATGGCAAGGGGGTTTTCTTTATTTGAGGAGGCGCTGTTAGTGTTTGAGGCACAGGACCCGAATGTAGAACGGTACACGAAGGTTGCAGCAGCCGTTCAGAATGCAATCCAGTGCTACCGTGTCATCTATGACGAGAAAAAAAGAGCTACTACCCAGACATCACTGGATCGTTTTTACAAGAGGGTAGATAGAATTAAATCCAGCAAGGAGCCAGAACCTGTGCCATCCACGTCAGGCGTGAGTGAAATTGCAACTTGCCCTCCGTCTCCTACTGCTGACGATCCTTCAGCCCTACCATCTCCCACCTCCTCTTCCTCCTCCAGTCAGTAACTCTTCCTGCCTGTTCCCTTGATGCCAGCCCTGGATGCCAGCTGTTGTACTGTACTACGGTACTTTTCAAGGTACTGTACTGTAAGATTAAAAAGGTTTTCTTTATTTTTTGTGTTTGTTTGTTATTTATGTATTATTCGTGTGAAAAGTATTATAAACCTATTCCAGTACAGTACTGTATAGCCGATTGTGTAAGTTGGGTACCTAGGCTAACGTCGTTGGACTTACGAACACATTGGACTTACAAACGTGCTCTCAGAACGGAACTCGTTCATACGTAGGGGACTTACTGTAGTTGTAGTCTCTCTTGCACAGAGATAGAAATACAGCAGTCGTTATTTATCCTCCCGTTTTAAAGAAAAATTTTAAATGTATATAAAACATGTATATGCATTATAAAGTAATTCAAACCTTAAGAGAAGCACATAACGTTGAAACCCCACAGCCAGTCTTCGTCTCTGGAGATGGCCACTGCCACCCATCGTACACCCTTCCTCTTTCCTGTACACACGTACAGTTCACACACACGGGCGTGTGTATGAACGGGGCACACAGACATTTCCAAAGGAAGCCCCATTAATGCTCTGCACCTCACTGATTTCACTTCGTCTTGTGTTGAGGTCCCTTCCAGTGGCACAGGCAGCTCCAGCCTTTCTTTTTAGTGGCTCTCTTGGAGTCATGTGCCCAGCCCCGCTAGGGAATGTGGGCCGCTGTTGGTTTCTCATCCCAGAACACACACCCTCATCTTGGCTGTTGCCCCTCTGGCTCTTCTGCCCCTGGGCCTGCCTGTCCTCTGGATGGCCTCAAGACACAGGGACCAAAGCTTATCTCTGTGTCACGGGGTGCCTGCATGTCTTTGATCCTGGTGGGTAACCCAGGAGGCTTCCCCAGGAGGACAGAGGGACTTGCTCACACATGGGAAGGAGGGCAGACCAGCCAAGGAGCATGGCTGGGGTCTCCTGCCAGGTGAGGGGGGAGAGTGGACCACACCCTGGCCTTTCCCACCCTTGACTGCCACTCCTGGTCTTCCTGAGACACTGTGAGGCCTGGGAACGCCTGCGGTGGCCCTGCCTAGATCTGTCCAAGTCCGGCTCAGCCGGTGTCCTGCCGGCAGCTCTCAGAGAACACCCAGGGCTGCTTTACTGTCAAACTCCCATCATCAGTCGAGAGTGTAGAGCTGGGCTCTGAGAGGTGCTGCTCCTGGAAGAAACAAGGTGCTCGGCCCACCCCCCTGTGGAAGGACACTGGGAAATGGGTCTCCTTGGCCACCTCGGGGCCCCAAGGCTGGAGGCAGGCCTGCCCCTCGCCGGGTTCTCCAGGAGCCCGTCTGGGTAATTGAACCCTGCACAAGTATTTCCTCCATTAAAAAAACCCAAAACGGGGACTCCCCTGGTGGTCCAGTGGTTAGGACTCCACTCTTCCACGGCAGGGGGCACGGGTCCGATCCCTGGCTGGAGAACTAAGATCCCCCATGCCGCGCGGCTTGGCCAAACCAACCAAAAAATCAAAACAACACACAAAACAAAAACCTCGAGTCCTGACACCCTTAATTAATGACATTGCTCAAGGTCTTGCAAGCTCGGGGCCATGAAGCGTGTCGGCTCCATGGACAGCTCGTTCCTCTGCTTTCCCGGGTTGCCACCAAGCTCTGAGCCGAGGTTTATACACTGTGGCTGCCCGTTCCTGGGCCCAGCTATGACGTGCTGGTAATTTCTGGGTTCTGTGTTTGGTCTGACATCAGTTTGTGGTTTATTACGCCACCCTGGATGCTTCAGGAGGCCGGCGAGTAGGTGACTGGGGATGGTGGTGTCAGCGGGGGGCTCCCTCGGAAAGTGGTAGAGGGTTTCCAGAGGCTTGCTGCAATCCTGGGGGTGAGGTTTATTTAGTCCACGGGGCCAGAACTCATCGAGTGGCCGGATGTGGCCCCGAATCTCCCACCTAAAGAGAGAGACTAGTCAGTGACCTCTAAGGGTTTTACCCAGGCCCGTCGGCACTTCCCACCGGTAAACGTTGTCTCCCCATTTTACAGCGGGTCAGGGCTGGGGCGGCAGCGGCCCTGAAATCAGCGGGCTCAGGGCGGGAACGTAAATATTCTGTTGTGGTGTCCGGAGAGAGTGATGCGGGCCCGAAGCTCCCCCTGAAGAGGCCGCCGAGGGCGGGCCAGCGCCGAAGTGCCAAGCGGGACCGAAAGGCCATCAACCTGCAGGTGAAGCTGGAGGTACTGAGGCGCTTCGAAGCCGGAGAGAAGCTCAGCCGAATCGGGAGGGCACTGGGTCTCTCCACCTCCACTGTGGCCACCATTCGTGACAACAAGGACAAGATCCGAGCGAGCTCCCAGGCGGCCACCCCGCACGCGGCCTGTAAGCTGACGCGCAGCCGCAGCCTGGTGATGGAGAACATGGAGCGGCTGCTGAGCGTGTGGATCGAGGACCAGAACCGGCGTGACGTGCCGGTCAGCGTGGTGCTCGTCCAGGAGAAGGCCCGCAGCCTGTTTGAGGAGCTCAAGCGGGCGCAGGGTGAGGGCTCCGAGGCTGAGACTTTCGGCGCCAGCCGCGGCTGGTTCGCGCGCTTCAAGGCGCGGCACGGGCTGCGCATCCTCGGGGCCGGAGGCGAGGCGGCGCGCGCAGACGCAGAGGCTGCGCGCAGGTATCCGGCGCTGCTGCGGAGGGTGATCCAGGAGGGCGGCTACACGGCCCGGCAGGTGTTCAACGTGGACGAGACCCGGCTCTTCTGGAGGCGGCTGCCGGGCAGGACGGGCCCTTCCGTGGCGGAGAAGCCAGGCCCCGGGTTCACAGCCGCCCAAGATCTCCTGACCCTGCTGCTCGGCAGCAACGCCGCCGGCGACTTCAAGCTGAAGCCGCTGCTGGTATACCCCTCAGAGAACCCGCGCGCCCTCCGGGGCTTCTCCAAGCCTAACCTGCCCGTGCTGTGGCGCTCGCACAGGAAGGCCTGGGTCACTGTGAGCCTCTTCCAGGAGTGGTTCGTGCACTTCTTCTGCCCCGCTGTGGAGAGGTACTGCGCCCGGCACGGGCTCCCGTATAAAGCTCTGCTCGTCCTGGACAGCACTCCCGGCCGCCCAGGGAACCTGGACGACCTCTCCGACCACGTGCGCGTGGAGTACCTGCCCAAGGACACCACGGCCCTCATCCAGCCCATGACCCAGGACGTGGTCGCCACGTTCAAGGCCTGCTACCTGCGGAGGGTCTTCCGCCTCTTGGCGGCGAGGGCGGGAGGCGCCGGCGAGCGGTCAGCGGCCTCGGACTTCTGGCGGGACTATAGCATCCTGGACGCTGTGCACAACATCTTCGAGTCCTGGGAGGAGGTTCCGCCCGCGACGTTGAACCGGGGTTGGAGGAAGCTGTGGCCCGAGTGCCTCCAGCACGACGCCAGCCCCCGACCCGGGGAGGCCCTCCCGCAGATCAGGCGGGACGTTGTGGCGCTGGCGCACGGCTTGGGTTTCGGGGAGGTGGCAGAGGCGGATGTGGCTGAGCTGCTGCAGAGCCAGGGCGCAGACCTGTCCAACGAGGAGCTGGTGGGGCTGGAGCAGGAGCTGGCAGCCGGGGAGGAGGGTGAGGACAGCTCGACGGCTTCCCGCCAGCTCACGGCCAGGCACCTGGCCAAGGCCCTAGCACATTTCGATGCTGGCCTGCAGATCGTCAGGGACAACGATCCCAACCTGGAGCGCAGCCTCCGCGTCTGCCGGGGCGTGAACAACGTGATCAGCTGCTATCGGGAGCTCTTCAAGCAGAAGAGAGGCCCCAAATAGTGTGTGTTGAGGGGGAGGGGGTGTTGGGAGTTCTGAGGCCTCCGGACTTTGTTGGGGAGAGGGGGTCCTTCCTCCCCATGTTTCACATGGGAGTGACACTGGTCTGCATGTTTCCATTTCATTATATTAATCCCTCAAATGTTTTTCTGTCAGCAAATAATTTAGTGTCTCAAGTGAACTTCTCAAATATACGGTTTTAGAAGCCTTGATGAATTCTCAAGTGAGTTTATTGCATCCTGGGCCCTTTTGGAGCAGTGCATCCTCGGTTTCCTAGTGGAAGCCCATGAGGAAGCCGGAATCACTGGGTAGCACCCCTGGCACGGTATTCCTGCCACCTTGCTCGCTGCGCTGAGCTCTTCCTGTATTCAGAGCTGGGGCTCACGGAGCTGAGAGGGGTTCAGAGAGGGGTTCTGCTTGTTTTATGGCCCGCTCACCCTTCAGCTGGGCTTCAGGACCTGCAGGCGGCAAAGGCTGACCCCGGATGAGCACCCAAAGAGACTCAGGGATCCAGAGAGTGGGCCTGGGTGGGAGGAGTGTCCGGCCACACACCTCCCATCTCTGTTCTTCCGGGACACTGGATGCGTCTTGTCATCTTGTTCTGTCCTCTGAAATGATGCTGTGCCCCTGCTGACTGGCCGGGGGGGAGGGGGGGCGGGAGGAGAGACTACAGCCCGTTGTGGGTGAGCTGGTGAGGCAGCACATTCGCCAGGCTCCCCGGCCCCGGCGCGGGCGTCCTCACGGCTGCAGGCCCGGCTGCAGGCCTGCTGCTAACTCTCCCTCTCTTCTTGTCTCTCTCCTCTGCTGCTCCCTCTCTCCACCAGTTTCCGTTTGACTCCTGCCATGCCCCTTTGACTCTTCTTCCCGTGGACACGGGCTCATTCCAGGCAGTGGTGGCATTTGGAGACAAGGCCCCGGATGCCATGTGGGAAGACTGGGAGGCACACGATGCCCCACAGAAGGAGGGGTAAGGATGTGGGTTTTGGGGTAGGGTTGGCCTTACTGCAGGACGCACGGGTCCTCAGGTGAGTGGTCCCTGTCTCCAGCCAAGGGGCCCTGTTAGAGGAAGCCTTCCCTGAGCCTGCCTTCCTTCTGCAGGAGGTGGGGGGCAGGGGGGTGGGCGGGCTAGCCCGGGAGATTGGTTGGGGGCTAAATTTGGCCTGAAGGTTTTTCTGGGGAGCCCAGGTGCCCTCACATCTCCCATCTGCTGTCCATACACCCCGGTGTACACCTGACTGAGGTATGCCCAGAGCCGACCTCTGATCCCATGCACAAAGCAACACTCCCTGCTGGCTGGACCTCTTGCATCCGCCCCAACTCTTGGGCCATCGTGGGTACCCGTAGCTCTAGGCTCTCCTGCGGGTGGCCACTGTGGGTGTACCTGACCAGGGATGCTGGTCTGCTCCTGCTTGGCTATCTGCACCATTCAGTGTAGAATCAGAGCCAGAGGAGAGGCCGACTTTAAAGGACACTTCTGGGCATATTAATCACGTTAAGGCTGTACACGGGTCTTCTCTTCCTGGCTGGGGTCTGGCTGGACACGGGGTGTTTTCCAGCGGTGCTGGGCGCCGAACCGGGCCCCGGGCGCTGGGGCCGGAGCGGGACCCAGTCCCCGGGCGCTGGGGGCGGAGCCGGGCCCCGGGCGCTGGGGGCGGAGCCGGGCTCCGGGCGCGGAGCCGGGCCCCGAGCGCTGGGGGCGGAGCCGGGCTCCGGGCCGCTGGGGGCCCTTCGGGTTCGGGCCAACAAAGAGCAGCCCGGATACCCACGCCCACGGCTGGGCCTGCTGGTCTCTCCGTCCTTCTGTCGGGCACAGTGTTCACCTCCCCCTGCTGCCCCGGCGGGCCTATCTCCTGTCGGGTGGTAAGCTCTTCGTCCCAACCGCCATCTCCCGCAGCTACCACCCCTTCTCCAGCCTCGGGGATGACCCAGGACCCTCCCTGGGCTCCCCGCCTGCCCCCCCTTGGCAGGTGTCCTCAGTCCCCATGTGCTGACAGGTGGGTGTTCCCTGCAGACGCTCCCAAACGCTTCACCCCAACATCCTCCCCGGGGCCGGCCCCATGTCCTGTCGGGATGTCCCCTGTCACCAAGCCCCAGCTACATGGCGAGGGCAGGCATCGGGCTTGCAGCAGGCACCGCTGTGTGTCCTGCTGTATACACAGGCATGACCCTGTCCCAGGGTGCAGGAAAGGCAGCCCTATCTCAGGATATGGGGAGACGACTGACTGACTACAGGGCGGACGTCAGCTCTCAGCGCACTAGGCAAGAGCAGCCGGGTTCTCGCTCCCTGGACCCTTATCTCACCTGACTGTGACCCGGCTTTGTTCCCACCCCCGTTGTCCCTCCATTGGCCTCGCTCTTGTGAGCAGAGCAGGACAGTGTGGTCAGCGGTCACAGGCTGAGGCACAGGGACACTGGCTGACCCGCGTGCACCCATGCTGACCCCACGGAACGGGCATTGCACCAGGGCCTGTGTGGTGCAGGTTCACCTGCCCACAGAGAGGCCGAGCCTCTGTCCTGGCTCCAGAGGTCACCTTGAGTCTGACGGGAGTGTCCGTGCTCCATGGGCCTCGCTCCAGGCTGCTCTGTGCTGACGGCATGATACACAGTGGGGCTTCCTTCCCCGGGGGCTGGAGGCTGAGGTCGGGCACATGGTGGTCCTCATGTCGACATGACCGACCCCAAAAACCCCTGCACCTCAGGATTCAGGAGGGCTTCCCTGGGTGGCCACACCCAAGGGACCCCCGACGCTGCTCCTGACCTCTGCCCTCGGCTGATTTCAATCTACATCCTAAGCAACTCTGTGCCAGCTGCAAAGAGAGGGAGCTTGTTTGTACACCCCTCCCAGTGCACGGGGCTCTCGTGGACAGCCCTCTCCCAGGATATGGAGCTCACCTGAGCAGGTACCCAGCAGCCCACGGGGCTCTCATGGACAGC